TTTAAATTCGGAAAAAAATTGTTACTCAAATGGAGTCGAAAGCGTGTACAAGGGATAATTTCAGTCCGCAATACCAGTCCCACTTCCGGTGACAAACAAAAGTTGTTAAATTTATTGTAGGTGGTTGTTTACATCTGGCTGGTAGAAATGGTAGAGTCCTATGAATGTAATTGTTTGAAATGCACGTAAAGTACCTTTTTTCGGCAAAACTCAGTTTTGGAACAGTTGCCAATGTTACTACCACTTTGTCAGTGTCTGCCTAAAACATAGTTTCGGTCGTCCACTTACAAATTATTTGCACTATATTTTTGTTGTTACACCTTATTTTATAATAATGGCTCGTGACAAATTTTATCTACGCAAAAAAAAAACAAAACGTGCAATTAGTACAAAAAATTGTACAAACAGTAAAAAAACACATAAGTTTATTGAATCCATAATTTCTGAAATTGTAGAAAATGTTGAAAAAAATAAACAATCAACTAAAGATTCAATATCATAGACTCAGTAAACTCGGGTTTTAGCGACAGGCACCGGCGGTCGAAAATGCAGCAGCATCTGTTTGTAATAAACCTGTCGCAGTGTCGCAATCCCATTGTAGCAAATCTAACACCCCATGTAGTAAATTACCAATCTTTATCCGACAAAAGTATGACTAATTTATGATGCAAGACAACAAAATACTTAAATTTTGTCCTCAGTTCTACAGTGAAACTTCATGCTGTAATAAAACGTGAAAAAAAAAATCAGTTTCAGTTGTGTTTTATGAAAATTTTCGTATTTTCAAAACTATTTTAATTTTGTACTTGTGGTGCTTTTTTGGAATAATAAAATATATCTGACGTATGTTACAACTAATTTTTTAAGTAGAAAAAAAACTGGACTGGGAAATTATTATAGAATGAAAAAATATCGGAAAAACGGGAAAATTATTCGTCCTTTGACAGCTTCCGTTGCTTACGCTGCGTATTAAACGGTTAAAGTTACATAAAAATCATGTATGATGGAATTGTTCCCTTCTAAAAGTTCTAAAAAAAAGTCCGCGACAGCATACGTCAATCTTTTAAGGTCGACTCAGTATAACCTTTTTTATGGTAAAGAATTTTTTTCTAAAATAATCTAATATAAAATTCTGGTGTCACAGTGTTTTTGTAACCAATCTCCTCCGAAACGCCTTGACCGATTTTTATGAATTTTTTTGTGTATATTCGGTAGGTCTAGTAAACTATTTTTTAAACCCCTAAGTGATAAGAGTGACCCACCAAACTTTTTTTATTTTTTAGACATTTTTTATTTTTATTTTTTTAAGATTTGCCATCAAAAAATACATATAACCCTAAATTTTGACCCTTCTACCACCAACCCCCATTTTTTAATAACGATATGAGTATCTTTGCTTTCATCCACAGATGCGCAATAGGGTTGCAAGATGACCATTGAATATAATCATTGTCGTACGATAAATTTTTATGTATTTATTTTAATTTAATTTTTTATTTAACTGTGTACCAAAATATTCACTAGAAATGCCAAAACAACGTTTGGCGGGTCGGCTAGTTTCTAATATTGTATATATTTTAATTGTATTTCTTCAGGTAATTATTGTACATATTTTATTTTTTTAATTCAATGTTTCAGGTAGAATGATTTTAATAAAACGTTAGCGCTAATTGCAATCTACTCATTCTTTACTCATTATACTCGTATTGTTAAATATTTTTATTTCGCTGTTCATTAGGGGTCCCACAGTGTTGTAGAACACAGGCCCGCAGTTTGATTGTTACGCCACTGGATGGATACGTTATTTTGTCACTTCTAAAAACCGAAATGGTATTGTAAAATCGGAAATGCGATATCAAAATTTTATTCCGATAAATCGCTGAGTAAAAACAGCTCCCCCTGGTGGACAAGGTCCACATTAAATTAAGTCTGCAACCAAACCAGAATCTAAGTAAACCTGTATTCTGCTACGGCATCATAGCGCGTTTAATGGCGATTTCTCGTTTCAACAGATTCTGTCTTTTCGAGAGTTATTTATCTCAGTCGTGAATTTTTTAGGATTATAAATGGTATCAAAAGAAAGCTGACACTTTTCCCCAGGGGACCTCCTATCTCAGAATGCAAATCACTTCAGCACTTCTTCAAAAAATGCATCAATGTACCGGTTAAATCTGGTGTAAAAATTGGTCAACTTTATATTTTTTTTTTGTAGAAACTGCGGACTAGATATGAATATAAATATGGAGGTCCCCTGGACTCAAGTTTGTTAATTCGAAATATAATTTTTTTAAAGCGATATATCCCGTATTTTTAAAATGCAACTCCGGAAACCACGACGATGTTTTCAATGTATTTAGTATAGGGCGAAACCGATCCAGACGCGAGCCTTAAGGGAGCAACGAGTACCTACCGAGATAAAAATAAGAATATAATTTTCTATATTTATTTTTAAAATTTTAGAAAAAAGACACAAATTATTGGCCGAAATGTGTCCGTATAAAATAATAAAAATCCCAATAAGGCGTAAAATTCATTGGTGAGGCACTGCCTCACCTGCCTCATAGGACAAGCCGCCCCTGCATCCAAATAATGGTGAATGCTACTATTTGCGAATGCTGCTTCACGTGGTCAAAGAACCAACATCGTTTCAAGCAATCAAAACAATCGATGGTCAAGAGTGTGAGACATACAGAGAAGCATGTTTTAAACTTGGTTTGCTTGAAAATGATCAACATTGGGACAACACATTAGCAGAAGCATCTGAGACACGTCATGCCCATCAAATACGAACTCTGTTTGCCATAATTTTGACAACCTGCGCACCTTCTGATCCGAAAGGTTTATGGGAAAAACACAAAGAGAGTATGAGCGAAGACATACTTCTCCGAGCACGCAGAAATAATCTCGGCTTGGATGTACAGTATTCGGAAGACATTTTCAATGAAGCACTGATATCACTTGAAGATGTGTGTATGTCGATTAACAACAAAATCCTCAATCAGCTTGGGCTGTTTTCATCGGAACGTGACAGAAACGATGTTATCGATAGAGACGTATTGCGAGAAAAACAATACGACGTCGATGCGCTACAAGTTTATGTTGAAACTCAGAAAAGATTCTTAACAAACGATCAACGACTTGCATACGACACAATTATGCGCTCCAGACCATACATTTATATCCACATATATACAAAGTAAATATATACACAAGCAGGACAACGTCTGCCGGGTTCCGCTAGTATTATCTAAAACCCTTAGTGAAAACCTCAGCTTTTTGGTGGTTTTCAAGTTAGGGTAGTAATATTAAATACATAAATGAGAAAAAGTTTGAATGTTGTTACAATAAATTCTTACTCTTTAAATTGTCAAGTACAAGCATAAATCTAACAATAAGAGGCATACATGCTTGTGTTGTGCCCTGATGACGTATAGAATTTTTGAAAAAATAAATCCTTTCAATACTATACTCAGATTACCATGCTTTCACGAGTTTCCCACAATTGTTGGTAGTGGCGATCCAGATTCTGTTAGTCGAGCAGGAAAAACGTGCCCTCTCGATATTTGATAACGTGTAATTAGTATAAGGTCACTTTATTAACAATTCGTCAGTGTTATGTGTTGCAAAATCGTGACTACTTCAGGAAACCGGCGTATTGTGTTTTCATTGCTTTGATAGACAGCGAAAAGACACTAGTCTGGTAAAATCATAGGTAAGTACTTGTAAAGGTTAAAATGTCCATTTATTTCACATAATCAACATTTTACACAAGCTGTACAAATTATGCATTTTGATTTCTTATACGAGAACGAAATTAGTAATTAATAACACGTGGTATTTCTACACAATGTGCTATATATTTCTATATTTTATTGAAAGTAAGACCCGAGTTTTTGTACATTTCTGTATGGAATTTTAAAATGCTTACGTTTAGTTGGATTTCCTTTACTGTTTAAACAACTGTTGTGGCAATGGTGAAAATGTTACCTAATTCAAAACACGTGACAGAATTTCACTTAACTAGTTTAGTGGTGATATATGTAAAGCGTTGGATAGTTTTCCCTAAGTTGTTATTTACATGCCCTACTGTCCTAGCTTCTCATTTGGAATTTTAAAATAATACACTGATAACACTTAAAAAATTAACCCCAGACATGGATCCTTTTGAAGAAGTAACTTTGTAAGTTATTATCAGTTAAAGTAAAATCATCATGGACTCGAAATGGAAAGATTTTATAATTTTGAAGTCTCCTCTCACAGCGAAGTGTTACCAAAACCACCGTATTTTGATCTGTAGTGTATCTAACATGTGTTCGTTGTGTTTATCTCAAATGTGGGAATTCGGTCCATGATGTAAACGCAACGCAGTTTCTATTAATAACTTATGTTAAAGTATGTTTTAATATAAACCAAATTCGTTACTATCTCAGATTGGTAGACGATCACAGCTCGAAGTCAAATTTTAAATTTTTCCTGAATTTTCGAATTTTAGTGGGCATGTTTCAATTTAGGCTCAATGTTAAGGTTATCACAACTTACATTTAAACACAACTTGGAATCTAATTAAAATTAATGTTACCGTACCTACGTCTTTTAAGAGGACAGTATTTTAATTTTTTTGTTTGTTTTTGTTAAAAATGGTCATACCAATGATTTTTTGGTGTCTCTTTATCATAAGAGGTCAGCTATGTTGAATCTAACATTTAACAAAGTTTTGTTATTCTAGTGTAATTAGTTTTCAAATAATGATGATGAAGCATACATTTTTTTGCTAATTCTTTGTGAAATCTGTTCAGATGTTATCTCAGCTTCTTCTTTGTTACGTAGTACCTAAATAAAGTGAAGGGAAATTTTAAAATGAGAAATCCGTGTATCCCGAATAATTTATAGATTCATAGAACATTCGTATTTCAGTTTTAACAATGGGGTATCTACTTTATTATACCTCTGCGACTCCATATTGCTGATCTTTATGTTGCTAGGAAACGAACTGTTTGATAGATTTTGTTTGATCCTTTGATTTTTTCGCAGGTCAAAATTATCTTTAAATTTAAAGTATGTTAGACGAAGAAGAAGAGGAAATTCCAGGTAATATTCTAGTCGTACATTTATACAAAATCCAAATTTAAATTTTTGCAGTTCCAATCAACAATGATTTAGAACGAAGAATCGCCGATACTTTTGAAGTTTTTGACCACGCAGGTAACAAAACAGTTGATTCACGCGAAATTGCAACAATCGTCCGTGCGTTGGGCTGTTGTCCAACAGAAGCAGAAGTGCAAGAAATATTAATGGCCGTTGAAATGCCAGAAGCTCCCGGAAGTGTCCACCTGTCAAACTTTTTGCCACATATTTGCGAGATTATTACCGAACATAAGTAACAAAGACCGCCACTAGAATATTTAATTTTACCGTGTTCGTACCTTAGATATCAGCCTGCCAGCCCTGCACAGCTGTTGGAAGCCTTCCAGATCTTGGACTCTGACGGTAGGGGTTACTTAACAAAAGAGCACATTTCTACATTAATGACGCAAGATGGTGAACCGTTTACTCAAGATGAACTTGACGAAATGCTCGAAATCGCTATTGATCCACACACTCAAACTGTCCCCTATGAGTACTACATTAATCAATTGATGGTAAAATTTTCCTTCTTGAAATTTCACTTAGAATGCTGTTTCATATGCACTTAAATATTGCTTTAGTACGAACCTGAAGGGGAAAAATATATATACACATTAGCTGATAGAGTTTATGAAGAAAATCCTCCACCTCCTCCTCTTCCTCCTGCCCGAAGTCTTTCCCAGTTCTTGCAGAGCCTCAGTGTTCCTAATTTCAAAGAAGAAGAAAACTGACGTGCATGGTTTTTGAAATGTTTTATATTTTGTGACGTTTAGTTCTTAATTACAACTTGGAAAAAACAACATCTTTTTGTTTAGTGGCTTGAGCAACAACAGCATTGGTAAAATCTTCACTTTGCAGCATGAGTTGGTTCCAAACAGCCTGTAATTTAAAGATCACTCACAAGTTGTGGTAACAGTATGAACTACTTAGTAAGATACCTGTGCACTACAGATCCAAATATATACCTAGTGTGGTACAAACTATCATCACCCAGATTTTTTGTTTTTGCTAAGTGTAGACATTACCAGTATTTTTTTATATTAAATCTTTACTAATTTTTTGATCTATCTTGCATGTTTTTTCTGTAACTGCGCTACGTATATACTACATACTACCACAATGTAATTATGTTTTAAATGAGTAAGAAATGCATATTTTGGTAAATTTTGAATGCTAATGAAAAAAATAATACTTGATTTGTACTTTTACAGCTGGACTAAGACAAAGTTACTGCACGCCTACCTACTCCCCTCACTTCATAATTACATCAAATGTAGCACAACACATGACTTATCAACGAATAAGTTAGAAGTAAATTACAGCTGAGTATTGTTAAGCAAGAAACCATAATAAAAAAAATGTGTAAGAAGACGTTAGTGAATCTTAATCTCAACAAAACGGGTATTTCCGGAAAGTAACCCATTTCATCAAAATGCCACATTCTTAAGATTATTATAATAATATTTGGTAAGGCCATTTTGATTCATATTTACAAAAAACAAAATTGCGTTCTTTCACTTTTGCTGTCTAAAATAAATATCTGTATTTAAGCTTAGTCTCTAGATAAGAGTGCATCACCCCTGGGATTCTAAATACTCATAGTGATTGTTTGTCATCACATTAATGTCACTAAATTTATGATAATAAAACGTTAATCACTTACAATTTGATTTAATCCATCTTGAACCGAATGATCTCTAGCATAAACCAGACTGACTTTTGTACCTTGGACTGCTACAGGGCTCTTCTTGGCAATATCTTGTGCAATATCAATAGCACCTTTGATCAAACTGTAAAAATAATCTGTCTAAAACGGCACCGTCATTAAATTCATATGATAATGCAAAAATTTAACGTACACTTGGTTAGTGAGGTCATTTTTGGTACACAGAAAAACACGCCTACACTTGATTTGTCAAAATTTTGAAGCTTTATTAAGAGTAGCCACTACCACGGCCACTACCTTGAATGACACGAGTGGATCGGAACAATCACTTGACGCATAAGTGACACTATTTGGTGTTACTTACCGTAAACTTTTACAACACTGCATTATGGCCACATTTGTGGTAGTGCGTAACTTTTAATTTTAGAATCTCTTGAAAATTTTAACCCACATGACGTTTCTTAGTCGCTAAGTTTCCTCCGAGATTTTTTTACACACCAAGTCAGTGAATTTTGTTTTTATAGACGGTTATTTATAAAGCGTTAATAATAATTAATTAATAACTACAGAAATAATAGAAAAGAACTTCAGTGAAGAACTGCATATTATTTTTTCAAGAAATATATCAAATTTACGTAAAATTTAAAGATGACTTAAGTTTGACATTCAATAAATGTCATCTTGACAGTTTAGTTTACCAGAATGACTTAGTTATACAGAAACAAATTACTACCTTTCTTTATCTTCAAAAACTCGAGACACTAGTCCTGAACTTAGAGCTTCAGGCGCTTGTACCTTACGCGCTGTGTAACACACTTCTCTGGCCCAACTATCAGAACCAATAATTTTGGGCAATCTTTGTAGGGTCCCTACATCAGCGGCCATACCAATGTCAACCTATTGTTTTGTAACAACTTGTCAAACTGTCCACTTATCATCATAAAGAATAATACAAAAAATTGACACTTCCATTATATACTTACTTCTTTCACTTGAAACCAGGCATCTTTGCTACAATACCTCATATCAGTAGCTGCTATAAGATCCACTCCACCACCAATGCAAGCTGAGTGAACAGCAGCTACAACAGGTTTCTTGCACAATTCTATAGCAGTAAGTGACTTCTGGTACCCCCTTAGTTTAGCTACTACAATTTTTGCTTTACGAGCTACATCTTCTTGTTCAGCTAATTCAGGAGCCATGTCCATTGCATCTTTCAAGTCCAAGCCTATGAATATTTTAACATCATAGTAGAATAGAAACAAATTGATTTATTACCAGCTGTAAATACTTTTCCTGCCCCGGATAAAACAACAACTCTGCAGTTTTCATCACTGTCCAAGGTTTCAAAACACTTTCCAATTTCACTTCAATTAAATTAATGTTATGCTATGCAATTATCGATATGTATTTTTTGAACTTACAACCACATTGTTTTACTCATTGCATTCAGCTTTTCTGGCCGGTTGAGTTCAACATGGTACACAAATTCATGTGGTACTGTTACAGCTAATGTTTCATACTTTGCTTGAAGGGACATTTTTGCTGCACTGCTTATTAATTTACTAGCACCTGTAATAAATTTAGTATTGGTTCAGTCTTCTTAAATTAATTTACTCACCAGTTTTTAATTTTGAAAATAGACCTCCAGAGGCAGTTTTAACAGCCAAAGTAGTTAACATTTGCTTTGTTCGTGTAATGCTTTTAAAGCCACTCTGTAAAATACATGTAGCCAATATACAAGTTAATTTATATATTTTTTTATTTAGCAAGTCATTGACTTACAAACCTTTGGACTTGAGTGCAACTTCAAACTATTTATGTACGTTATGTACCTGATAACAATTTTTAAATATCTAATAAATAAAATAATATTAAACAAAACAGTTCTGTGGAAAAAGGTATAAAAATAAAAATCATACAAAAATGGACTTTTAAATAAACGCCACAGAAGAGTGAAACCACAGGTGAAAAACAACAGGCAGGCCCAATACGTACATAGAATAATAAAGAAACGATAAACATCCTATGACATCCTAACATTTGGATCTATCCTATGATTTGGACTTTGAACTTTTGAACATGTGGTGAGAACGGGTAAGAGTAGCCGAACAAACCACGTCTATACTAGAATGAGTAAATGAGCCATTACATAATAAAGTAATACATTGGACTGGAATACCTAATTTCTAGAATTTTACCATTTTAATGGTTTCTTGTTTCTCAACATTTTAAATTAATTATTTCTATTTGTAATAAATAATAGTTATTAACACTTTAAAATAAAAAAATATATAAATTTAAATTTACAAATTCATTACCTGCCTACCTACTGGAAAGGTTTTGTCTGATCTAGAAATTGGAATTTATTTATGTGACAAAAAACATTAAACCTGAATGAATGAATCCGTTCCTATACGATTGATGAACCCAATGCCAGATCCACAAAAAAAATACAAAAGTAAATAAATACAATAACCAAATGTAAAAGAAGCTCGAAGTAGAAATTACAGTATAATGAACTTTGTTTAACTGCCGTATATGGAACTATTAGCAATCTTGGTGAAGAATTAAGAAATATTATAATGTAACACTTACGTATATGCATCCAGAAACCTATTCGTAATTAAACAACAAGGTGTTTTCCTGACTAAGTGAATTTCATGAAATCTTCTAGCAAGTGGTTTATTTAAATAATCCTGATTGTTAAATTGTTTTAGCACTAGCTGACGATTAAGAGAAACTAACTTGATTGGTGAATTTACAAACAATAAAACAAATTTGCAGCACATGTTTCGCGTTGAACGGAAGTCCGCAATTTTTCGATTAAAAGGCCGCAAGGATTAACCGCGCGGGTTGGGGACAACAGAGTGACTTGGGTTACGATTGATTCTCGTTAAACAAAGACTTCCTCCCATTTTATTAACTAACAAACCAACTAATTTAAATCAGCTCTTACCACGTGTTTACAGTCACAAAGACACATTCAGACTGACGCACCGCCATGCTGCTTCCGTCTAACCACCAACCCTCTAACTAAAATCCCCTAGCGCTAATAATTGTCCGACTATCCAGCAAGCGTTAACGTGCACCTGGTTGCCTATGTTTAACGATTTCTTTTTGTGATTGATTTTTTTTTCAAATTCAAATTATTCAAGTGTGATTTCGCGCCGCTGTTAATTAATTTCAGCGCGAAAACTTTGATTTAAATTCGGTCACCACAATACTCTGAATATGAACCTGAGATTATGGAGACCGTGATACTTCGGTAGTCTAATTTAGACCCTACAGAAATAAAATATCGAGTAATGTTATTGAAATAACAACAAGATGTGATGAGTTATGCTGAACTCCCACAGCTTTTCAGAATTTTCAGAACTTGTGTAAATATTGGTAGGTACTGTGTCGTACCTATATGAAGAGCGAATGTTAGTTTAATATAAAGCAAAACACCGAAGAATGAATCTATTCGTGTAAATGTGCTAGAATTAAAAGTTAACTTTAAGATATAGTAGAATTCTTATTTGTCAGAGACATGATGCGACATTTATTTTATCAAATTTATCGCAATGGCTTAATGTTGAATTCCTGGTGTCACCTAAAGGCTATCAATAACAGGAAAACTACCTAAAAGTATCAGTGCTACTTCTAATATAGATTGCCTATTTTTTAAAAACACAGATAATAAGTATTAATTAATTCATATCTTACTGTTAATTATATACATATTTAAAAATCGGCGTGAATAAAACTCACAAAACAATTTATTTCTCAGTAACTCAAATTTACACGACTAACTGCACAGCAATTATGTACAAAATAATTCCGGCGCAACTTGACTGGATTCTCTGTTCACTGAATTGACTGAATAATAATCGTTCCCGAAGGTGGCTTTTATTTAAACCCATACTTCTTTTCTAGATATTTCGTGGTCGAGGTTTTTCTAGAGTACACATCACGACTTCCACTTCCAGGCTTTTCTTTAGCGAACGCCGCCCGGCCTCACCGATGATGAGTCATCCAACATGGCCATGGATTCTAGAAAGCCCTCGTCATACTGGAGCGGCGATGGGTCTATTTCGTAACAATATGATCGATAGAAAAAGTCCTCTAGCAGGCCATGAATAGTAATTATATACCAAGGGAGAGAAAACAATTTTTATAGCCGAGCTGAATTATACCGGAGACGCGTAGCGTCGAGGGTAATAATGAAAGCGAGGCTATAAAATGGTTCTCTCCCGTGGTTTATATATTATTTTTTTCACTACTAGCACATTTGTTTAACTTTTCTTTAATGACAATGTATAAAAGTCGGAACGAATTTAAGATATCCATGAAAATCAAATAGCCTGTGAAAACAAATGAATAAAAATGACATTAAACCAAAAATCTTAATAAAGAGCAAAATGTCGACTAGCGACGAAGATACTAGTGTGTGCACCCCGCCAGAAATCCGAAAAGAAGCAAGTAACGTGCAGTGTGATCAATTACTGCCACAAAAATCAAAAGAGTTCTACTTAAAAGTTTACGCACAATTCAAAGATTGGTGCAAAATTAAAAAAGTGGCCAAAGTGTCAGAAAATGTCCTTCTTGTTTATATGGAAGAAAAAGCTAAAAACAAAAAAGCTTCCAGTCTATGGGCCACATTTTCTATGTTAAAACAAACTCTTAAATTAAAAGAAAATGTGGATATTTCAAAATATTATAAAGTAATTGCTTTTCTCAAACGCAAAAATGATTCCTACACACCCAAAAAGGCGGCTGTTTTTGAGAAGCATCAAATCACAAAATTTATTTTAGAAGCACCTGATTAAATTTTTCTTTCGTCTAAGGTAATTCTGTTAATTGACAATGAGATTTTAAAAAACGCCAAATTACATTTGCTTCCAGGTTATTCTCATTATAGGAATTGCAGGAGCTTGTCGGACAGATGAGCTCTGCAACATGAAAATGACAGATGTAGATACACGAGAGGATATGATAGTCATAAATATCCCTCAAACAAAAACAAAATCTTCTCGAAAATTTGTCATTATGGAGCCCACCTGGATTGATGTGGTTAAAAAATACTTGACAAAAAGGCCGTCTCCTGATATGGCAAGGCTTTTCATTGGGTTTAGAGGTGGAAAACCGACTAGACAAAACATGGGACATAATACGATAAGCAAGACACCTTATAAAATAGCTCAATACCTACAACTGCCAAATGTCGACAAATTTACTGGCCATACATTGAGGCGAACATCAGCGACTATTTTGGCTGATATGGGTGGGGACATATTATCACTCAAACGCCATGGGGGCTGGAAAAGCTCAATGGTTGCTGAAGGGTATGTTGAGGAGTCTCACTGACAAAAGAAGAATTGCAAATATAATTCAGGGAACACCTCATCACATTAACCTACCTGCTCCTAGCTCTTCCAATATTTTATGTGAGAGGAGTGAAGAAGTGTGTAGTGAAATGCCATCTACTTCCACACATGCTGCTACAAACAGTGAAATAACTATACCGGTGGAGAACTTTACCTCCAATCGCAATACATCGGGAATCAATATGACGTGCCACAACTGCACAATTAACTATTATTTCAAATAATTATAGTTGAGGTGTTAATCTTTAGTTACTTTGTTGTTAATACTTATTATTCTCAATTTTTTAATAAACATTTGTCTTTCGAATAACACAATATTATTTCTACATTAACATTTTCATTATTTATTATAAAAATACTACTTCTTAACAGATTACACAAATTAGAGGTTAAAAATGTCGCGTGCTCGTAAGAATAACTGCAATAGATTTTTCATGATTGCTCTGGTGGCATTCTTGCTGGAGTGTGGTCCAGGCGGCAAATTTAAGATTTCGCAAGAAATTTCAGCTTCCCAGTTCTACATCATCTGTCATTAATAAACAATGTATAAAATGTGGCAGCTTAATGTCAAGTAAACACCTCAACTACGACATTCTAAGGTAACCATGGCAATACTGTCAATTATTTTCATTATCTACTAGTAGGAGAGAATAGTATATTATTAACTAAGGTTGTGAAGACAGACATTCTAGACCGAGCGCAAATTAGAACCTGAGACGCGCAGCGTCGAGGGCTCTAAAGCGCGAGGTCTAGAATTGGCTTCACAAACGTGGTTAATATACTATTTTTTCCACTAGTAGCCCATTTGAGGTTTGCGAATTTTCAAAATGTTTTTTCTGAAGTGCATCAATAAAAATGTGTACTCACGTCATTTTAGTAAGCTTTGGAATTTTATTATTTTTTGACAATCCAGAAATGGTCCAGAACTTTTGTTTTAATTTCCTCCATATTTCCCGTTTTTAATAAATTTTTGTGTGAAAAATGTTGTAAAGTGAACCATCATGTACCCCTCCTCATTCCGTCGTACTTACGCGACCGCGACAAATTTGGCTGAAAAAGGTATGGACCTTTTATCGTTAAAGCGACACGGGGAATGGAAATCCTCCAGCATAGCAGAAGGATACAACGACGGCTCGATCTTCAATAAAAAAAAAAATCGCCGAAATCGTCCAAAGCTCATCTACGGCAAATCAAGTCAAACCAAATCGGAACCATTATTCAGTTTCAGTCCCGTAAACTTCATTTTCACTCCCATCAACTTCATCAACTTTGTTTCACCAATTTATCCTCAATTTATAATCAATTCAGGGTTTGGAAATCATTCCAGGGCATAATTTAAAAGCAAATTTTCCAAAATCATCGTTTTCAGGTTATGTCTCAGTTTTTCTGACAGTTGTGGACAGTTGTCACATTAGGTGGCCAACTTCACGTTTACATTATTGACCAAGGTTCACAATTTTCCAAATTACAGACCTCTAGACAAGTCGACAATTAGCCATTGTAATGCTACTAGTGGAAAAAAATCCATTATTGGGTAAGGTGGAGAACAGTAATTTCTCAAGCATCAAACACGATATATAATGAAGTCTTCTGAGGCTAGTAGTGAAAAAATAGTATTTACGCTTGACGTCAGTAAAAAGTTAAAATGCTATACTATTCATCTCTCGAAATTTGAGGATAAAACTGATTTTAACTAATAAATCGGTGTTAACCTACATGAATTTATAGCAAATACGACGAAATATGATACAACTACTAGCATTTACTAGCTTCTACTTCCTATGACAATGTAAGCAGTTTTATAGACCCGTCAGAAAAAAACACTAAGAGAACATAAAATTCCCCATTTTTCAAAGACTCATTACAATAGTTGTCTTCACCTTAACCAAGAAGAAAAGCAACTCGAGTGTGAATTTAAATATAAATACCTATAATAAATACAATTGTGCGAAAAGTTTCAATTTACTTTGTGAATTACAAAGTTTCCGAGACGAAACCTAAACGAGTAACAACTCTACGAACAAAATAAAACAAATTTTTCACATTTTCTACGCATCATTTTTTGGGCCACACGACGCGCCATGTATTGAAACACTCGCATCGACAAAATTCACAAAACTGCGGCCTACTCCCATCCCCGCAAATAAGGATTACGGGTAAACCTTCACGCAAAGATATCCAATGGAAACAGAGTATTATAATTGCAAGAGAGAAAAACGAACAAAACTAAATTGTGCCACACTGTCAACAATTCAAACAAAGAATTTACATGATATTAAATTATGCCACACTTTATCAACGATTCAAAGAAAGAATTTACATGATGTTAAATTATGCCTTGGTCCAAGTGACTGGTTACTACAAAAAAAAAAACAGCTTTTAGAGTTCATATCGTGAACTGTTCCCAGCTCATCCCAAACAAACACATGATAAATAAACACAAAATGCCTCCCTCATCGCAAGAAATCCGTCTCGGTGATATCCAGATGATAACTACTTAAGGAAAAAAAATAAATTCCTCATTCCCCGATATTATGAATTCTACCGCACTTTCCACGGTCCTTTTTCCCAAAATGAGACAACATTAGGTTAATTTGACTGTCGTAAATGACCTATTAGCAATCTTGTGTAAGGAATTAAGAAGTGTTACAATGTAACACTTAAATATAAGCATCCAGAAATCTTATTCATAACTTGATAAAAAAAATGATGAGTCCTGAGTAAGTGAATCTCATAAAATCTCCTAGCAAGTGCTTTATCTGAACAATCTTATGACTGTTAAATTGTGTGAGAACCAGTAACGATTAAAAACTTAGCATGAACTGTGAATTCACATATCATCAATTAAATTTATTTCACGTGTTAGCGTCGGTCGAAAATTCACATATTTCCGACTAGAAAACAGCAAGAATTAGTTACCAAACCTCCTACCAGATACTTCCCAGAAATTCCCTAGAAGAGGTACCAACTACCAGTAAAAAAGAATTGAACTTGCACATGGTTGCCTATGTTTAACGATTTTCTTAATTATTTTTTTTCAAAATCAAATTATTCGAATGCGATTTCGCGCCGTTTTTTTTCCAGCGTGAAATTTCAATTCAAAATTGGACACCACAGTAATATAATGTTGTGCATATTCTTTTCTAGCAATACATGCCGGCTCAGGCGTTACGTGTTGGTAGATCAACCGACGTCTAGATGTAGACTCTCCGAATTCTTACGAACCCCTACTGTTCTTTATTTGGATGAACAAAAAGAACGACGTGCATGATTTTTGAAATTTTTTATTTTTACAAAATTTTGTTCATGGTTACAACTTGGAAAAAACAACGTCCTTTTGTTTACTGGCTTGAGCAACAACGGCATTCATAAAATCTTCACTTTGCAACATAAGTTGGTTCCATGAAGCCTGTAATTTAAACATTCGATCGTTAGTTCTAATAACAGTGAAACTTGTTCATTAATAGTAAATAATTAAAAAAGTTGTTATAACAACATACCAACGGAAGCAAATTTTTTCTAAAATAAATTTCGTCTTTTCTTATTAGAGTGACATTATGCAATAATCGAAATATTATACTTAAGTAAGAGGGTCACCTTAATGTTGACTGCAATATCATACAATTTTCTGATTTCAAATTGACAAATACAACAATATAATGTTAATGCATATTTTTAATTTTTCTATTTCTTGTTAGACATGGAACTATCGACTTACGATAATAAAACGTTAATCACTTACGATTTGATCCAGTCCGTCTTGAACAGAATGATCTCTAGCATAAACCAGACCGACTTTTGTAGTTTGGACAGCAACAGGGCTCTTCTTTGCAATATCTTGTGCCGTATCAATAGCACCTTTTATCAAGCTATAAAAACGTCTTTCAATAAAACAGTTACTTCTCTAAAACAGCATTGAAATCATATTTAAATATAGTTGGATTCATGTATCTTTTTACACACGTGACCAAAAGCTAACGTCCGAAATAATAACTGTTACTTTGTAGTAATTAGTCAAAAAGATGACAATGTTCATAACGTCAACATGACACAAATGTGTAGGCTCAGGCAGGTCTTTTGGTTTCGGTGCTTTCCGATTGGGTCGTGATTTTGTCGGACTGGGAAGGACGCCAAGTTTTTCTTTTCGAGTTTCAATCTTCGAAACCGTTCGGCGAGTAACGCCTAGAGCATCTGCAACTCGCTAAAAATTTGAGCGAAATTATTAACCGTGAACCTCCAAGTGGTTTTTACTTACTCGTTCTGTACCATTTAATGAGATTAAAGAACCATCGTTTTCCTTCTCAAGAGCAAAATACTCTATAAAGTTGGCACGATGTCCTGGGCACGGGAACTCAAACGTTTGCCCGTCATGTTGTAGACCAAACACGAACAAGAAATAAGATAACAAAACATAAAAAATAGGACAACGAAACAAGAATCCTAACAATCAACGAACTTTACGAAGAACTGAATAGAAAACTTGAATAGAACAACGAAAAACTGCGATTAACCACTCTGTGTAAAACCAAAAATGACAGTGACGTTTGATGAAAAATCGATGAATTATTATCAGTCACTAGATTGACTACATCAGTGCCTGTCGCACTATGTGGACGCATTCATTACGTATTTTATCTTTTTCTAATTCAAGGAACTTTGTCGAAGAGAATAACTGACGTAGAGTGTAATTTGGCCTAATTTCGGTAGACATACTATTTGTCTGGCTCTTCGTTTTTGTAATCCTTAAAACAAAGATTCTTATGGTAGGTGCTGTCTGAGCTTGTATGATACTTCGGTCACGTGTGTCAAAAGATACATGAATCCAACTATATATGATTATCTCTCATTAGAATAGTACCAAAATGCAATATTAATGATTGAAGCAAATTTTTGAGTTGGCGATTCTAAATTATTGGCAGCAATGTTACCATGTCAGTTCACAGGTATCAATTTTGACATAAGCCGCCTCAAAACCAATGAGAAGATGGCACATGGCAGCTACTTAATTGGGTCCACAATTTCAATTTTACACCAGGTATGCCATCATAAAATTTTAAATATGTTGCCAACGTGACTAAACATATCACAAACATTAAGGTCATTTGGTAGGATATGCAAACAAACACAGACCTGATTTTGTAGAACAAGAAATTCCAAAGTTGTTGGACTGAAGTTAATGAAGAGAATGTTTTTTTTTACACAGCATAAAATATTATTTAACTTCTTTTCTTCGGTTAAAACATAATTTACTCTATTTGTCTATTTCTTTAGTGGTGTTTATCGAGTATTGTTTATATATAATACTACCTTTCTTTATCTTCAAAAACTCGAGACACTAATCCTGAACTTAGGGCTTCGGGTGCTTCTACCTTACGCGCTGTGTAACACAACTCTCTGACAAAACTGTCAGAATTCATAATTTTTGGCAGTCTTTGTAGAGCCCCTACATCAGCGGCCATACCAATGTCAACCTATTGTGTATATAACAATTTTTCAAACTTCCTCCTTATCAAGAGAATAATACTAAAAAGCTTTTACATAAATATATACTCACTTCTTTCAACTGAAACCAAGCATCTTTGCTGCAGTACCTGATGTCAGCAGCTGCGATAAGATTTAATCCACCACCAACACAAGCTGAATGAATAGCAGTGAGTACAGGTTTTTTGCACAACTCAATAGAAGTAATTGACTTCTGAAATGATCTCAGTGATGTAGAAATAACTTTTGCTTTGCGAGCTACATCTAGGTCTGCCAATTCAGGACCCATTTTCAGAAAAACTTGCTTAAAGTCCAAACCTACAAGTATTTCAATATTATAAAATACTGAAGACAAATTTAATTTAATCACCACTCACCAGCTGTAAAAATTTTTCCTGCAGCTGATAAAACAACTACCCTGCAGTTTTCATCATTATCCAAGTTCTCAAAGCACTTTCCAATTTCCCTTAAATAAAATTAATGTTATTCTTTGCATCAGTTATTCATATGTATGCATTTTTTTTTCAACTTACGACCACATTGTTATATTCATTGCATTCAATTTTTCTGGACGGTTTAGTTCAACATGATATACAAATTCATGTGGGATTGTTACAGCTAATGTTTCATAATTTGTTTGAGCCGACATTTTTGCTGTACTGCTTACAAATTTACTAGCACCTGTAATAAATTTAAATTAGTTCTGTTTTTTAAATTAATGGACTACTCACCAGTTTTCAGATGTGAAAATAGAAGCCCAAAGGCAGGTTTAGTAACCAAAGTGGACAACATTTTCGCTGTTTTATTCTTAAAATCAGTCTGCACAATGTATCTGGCCTATATATAATTTAACTTATATATATTTTTTTCATTAAGCAAGTCATTGTATTACAAACCTTTGGACTTGAGTGCAACTTGTCTGTTACAAGATATTTATATTATATACCTGATAACGATTGCAAATATTTGTATAAAATATATTACTGTGAACATATGTTAAAAATGAAAATACAAAAAAAAAATGCAAGTAAATAATAAACACCACAAAATAGTAGAACGAGTATACATAGAATAACAAAGTAAAGAACGGCTATCGTATAACACGTGGTATACGATTAGCCGAACAAACCATGCTTCTTCCTACCACGAAATGGATAAATATTAGTCATTTATTACAATGAGTCATTTGAAATTTAATTTTCAGAATTTTACGAGTTTGTTACAATTTTTTATTATTTTGTCCTAAAACATTTGTCACACTCACTCTCACACTGAAAAATGGAAAATCCATTTGATGTTGAACTGTAAAATACTTCTATCAAAATTAAAAATTTAAATTTACATCCTGGTCCCCGATGGCTTTGAGCTGATGTGATCGTCAACAAAATGGAACCCTACGTTATGTATTTTTTTATGGGGGAACGCTTTCAAATACAAGGTCACACAAGGTGAACCCCAAGGTTGGAAAAGTGGCCTTAAATTAAAATCCAAAATATGTAAGAAAAATTATTCATTTCTCCATTATTGACAGGGAAAAACTATGAAATAAACTATTAAGGGAGTTATTTCTCAGCTTTCAAAAATGAAATCAAATGTTACCAATCGATACAAATATTTGAATATCACAAATTTAAACACAAGTAACTGGATGCAAATACACCACAGTTATTACGATGTTGTGGGGCCAAATTTAAATAAAACAGTGTTAAGTGAACAATAAACTACGCAGTGTAGCGAAGGGCGTCTTTTCGTGAAGGACTGTGTGCCTTAACCACGAGCCATTAAACATTCGCATTCCTGAGGTTCCATCTCGACAAAGGACACAGTCTATTTCACTAGAGCTGAAAATCCGGTACTTCAGATAAACATTCACATGAAAGCAGCAAACAGAGTTTGAATCTTAGATCATATAATAAATAGATACCAATACTCAAACTGAAAGGTGTGACTAGACATGAAGCTATCTGTTGTCGTTTTCTACGTCCAGGGGAGTAGTATAATGCTATCCTTGTGTGATCACCACATCTTCATCTTTGTTATATGCATTTCATCTGTATATGTCTATTTCACTTCCATCCTTGTACCGCACCAGCGCAACAAGTCGCTTTTGACAGATGTTTCTTCTAACCTCTCTTTCGAGTTGTTGTACAAAAAACAATTTTAGAATCTAGAACAAAGATCCTATTTTAAGTGATGTAGTCATAAAGGATCACAATTGCTGCCCAATAATTTACTATTGCTTTCGTTATCTACTGTGAATTATTTATAAAATCAAGCTGTCAACATCTTTCTTCCGAAGTTAGTTCAGACATACTTCCTAAAATTTAGGCGCGCAAAATTCAAATAGTGATCAGGCAAGGATAGCTTCATTCTAATCCCTCCATGCACGAGAGAGATGTGTGACAGGAGGATGTCGTCACAGGCTGTCCTAGGGAAAGAACACGGCATGGTGGTATCTATTTATTATATGATCTAAGGTTTGAATGAAAATTTCGCTCTGAAAAAAAAATAAACAATATGCCACGAAACATTATTTGAAAATTTAAAAAAAGGAAAATCGTTCAAGCTTTAAGGCAACCATGTGCAGAAATTTTCAGTTATAATAGACGATTCATTAGGGAATTAGGGAATGTCACTGTTTAAGAGGAGCCCTCATGTTTGGCGCTTGTGGTTTGTCAATACATTTTCAGAATATAATATCAAATTTAAATCTAACATCTCCACACCTTTCACTATATAACGCGGGGGCAGTTTTTTAACAGTTTACTATCAACTTTTTTAAATTTGGTGAAATTTTTATATCACGTATTTTTAAAAATCAAAACCTCAGTCAAACAATCACATTAGTCGAAAAAATACACACTTTCCTTTATACTTTCTTGGAAGAGTACGGCCATATCTTGAGGACAATTTTAAATCACACTTTAATAATAATTATATTTCGAACTTTTGCAGTATGCATAATTGTGATAAACTTCTTATTAATTCTTGTGTCACGTTCCTTATTTACAAATTTGTGAAGGACCAAAAGAAAACTAATTATTTTTCTGATAGACACTTCCAAAAAAAAAAAAATGTAAAGCAATGCACCCACATTCATAGATAATATATGAAATATGTATATGGAAGGCGCTCATTCAGAAGCAAAATCGCCAAGGTGATTTTATTTTTTCAAACAACTTAAAACCCTAATAATAATAATTATGTGTTCACTGCACAGTTTATGGTCAATGTTCAGAAATTATAAAATACACACAATACTTCTGAATATTAAATAATTTCTAAAAATTCATAAACTGTAGAGTAAACTTTAAGGTTCAACATCGTTTGAAAAAATACAATTCACTTGGGCGTTTTTATTTCTGATTCCTTCATATTATTATTATATATTACATCATAATTTTTGTGAAATCAATAGTCATTATTTTAATAATCTGAACAATATTTTATTCAATACAATTTCATAAGCAGCACGTTAAAATTTTGCGGTTTCATGAAAATTAAAGTTATTTTAGCAATGTTACTACTAGTGATTAGAATAGGTATTGTTAATTTCTTCTGGAAGTACATGACTCTTTTATATATATTATCCAATTGTTGATGGCTTTTTAAACTCCATTCATTTATTTATTTTGTGAACACTTGGCATTTTTGAATGCTTGGTATAAGTTCAGCTTAAATTTTTAGAAGTAAAAATAATACTAAAGGAATGTAAATTTTTGAAGTTTTCGAATTATTCTAGATAAAGCCATGGTAATTTTCCAAAGTTCCGAAGTGTTCACGAAATTAATGTTATATAAGTTTTAATTTCTTCTTGCTTATTTTAATATTCAGTGTACTATTTATGTTTTTAATAAAGAATGGAACAAAAAGGTGTTAATTATTTTGAAAATCATTGGAACTAAATAAACTATTTGAAATTGAATTGAATATTTCGCGCCAAGTGGGTCTTCTTGCCACTTGCTCACCAGAGGCCCTCGTAATCAGTCAGTGATACTATGTTTCCTATTGTGCAGTCCACTCAGTCCAGTCTAGTCAGGTCACTTGTCACTTCTAAACGGTATAAACGGTAACCAGGTAACCACGTGGTGGAAATCAAGGTAGGTTAAATTTAGTTTGTAACTTTATAAAAGGGGAAATTTATTTAAACAGAGTTGATCACGTTCGATATCACAGTTTCCCTCCAGCCAGCGTAATTAATTATTAATGATTTTCTGATCTAAAATCTGAGGTTTCGATGATGCCGTCAACAACTCATGTTAATTTTATTTTGTTGTTTATAAATTCACAGTTCATGTTAAGATTTTTAACTGTTCATGGTTCTAACACACTTCTTAAACGACAGTCCTGCAAATGTTCATATAAAACACGTGGCAGAGAAATTCCCTTATTCAGGTTTCACCCTTTTGTGTATTAAATAAGTTATAACTAAAGTTTAGAATGTTTTTATTTAAGTTATTACATTGCTTTGTTTAAATGTTATGGGGACCGGTTCACGATGGAAGCTTGATGAACTTAACACTGATTTAATAAATCATTAATATAACTTGAATTAATGCATAATTTAACTTTATGTACACAACGTAGGGTTTCATTTTGTTGACAATTCAACGCTAAATTTTGAATTTCTTGCGGGTTTCAAAATTTTGTTCACATATCTCATTTTGGCAGGATGCTGGGTTATCTTATCACAGTTTGTTAAAGTCTACAGTAAAGTAGTCTCCCCCCAAAAAAGCAGTCAACTTTAGTATCCACATGTATTTTTATGGGTTAGTTATCTAACGACTTGTTTAAAAAAATTGGTTTTAGTTAATTTTTTACAGATAAAGCAATAAATGAACATTCTGTTTAATGTTCACTTATTAACAGTTTTTTTTTTATTTTATAGTCTACAGTTTTTAGGTTTGTGATACTGTGAATTGGTCAATTATTGAGGTTATTCTGTGGACAGTGGACGTCCTACTTTACCAGTTTTTTTTATTTAATAATGACAATAAGTGAAAAAGTTTTAATTACTTCAATTTATGACAACGTATTATTGTTTATGTTACAACTTTAACTAATGTTCTGCAATTACTAAAAATTACAACAATAATTTTAAGCGCAATTTGACAATTATCAGCTGTATCTGACATTTTTTGATGTCAATGTCAAATTTTACCATGCGTGTGAACATAACCTTTAATTCATGTACACATGTGAATTTAAAATTTACATTAATGTAAATAGAAATCTAACTGGTTTCAGGAAACAACCCAAATTAAAAACTGTGTATCGTATTCAGTGAAAAATGACAACTGCAACTGTAAAAGGAAATGTTTTGTGCTACAAAGGAAGCAATTTCTTTCGCCAACGACTAGTACTATCAGTTTTAAGTGGAAAACCCATCAGAATTTCTTACATTCGTGCATTCGAAGATGAACCAGGCATCAAAGAATTTGAAGTTAGCTTAATTCAATTGTTCGATAAAATAACCAATGGTACGGTTATTGAACTGAATGAGACGGGTACATCGTTGTATTTTCAACCGGGTCTGCTGCATGGAGGAACATTTAGCCACGAATGTTCTACGCAACGTGGAGTTGGTAAAAATCCGCAACATTAATTATGTTATTCTGTTATAATTATAAATTTTACAGGGTATTATCTGGAAGCCCTAGTGATGGTAGGGTTGTTTTGCAAGCAACCACTAAACGCTACTCTACGTGGAGTTACTAATAACAATATTGACCCATCTGCTGATTTAATTAAAACGTCAATGATTAGAGCTGTCAAGAACTTCATTCTTGATGATGAAGGGCTTGAAATAAAAGTTACTAAAAGAGGTTTGTGTATAATTTAAGAAAACAAAATTTTTAAAGACACGTTATTTTTTGCAGGCATGCTACCTCTTGGAGGTGGAGAAATAATATTCAAATGTCCAGTTTGTAAGCAATTACGACCTGTTCAGTTATTAGACAGTGGTATGGTAAAACGAATTAGGGGCACAGCATTTGCTTTGAGAGTGTCACCAGCAATAGCCAACAGAATAGTTGATAAAGCAAAAGGAGTCCTTCTGAACTTCATACCTGATATTTATGTAAATACAGATGAATGTCGAGGTAGGCAATCAGGAAAAAGTCCAGGATTTGGTGTGCATTTAACTGCAGAAACCACAAATGGTGTTATATATTCAGCGGAAAAAGCATCAAATGCTGTATCCAATGGGGAAGATCCATCAATTCCAGAGGACGTTGGTGAAGGTGCCGCTACACGTTTGTTATATGAAATCTACTTAGGAGGAGTAGTGGATTCATCCTCTCAAGCAGTTGTTATATTATGTATGGCTTTGGGGCAACAGGATGTTTCAAAGTTTGTTACTGGACCTCTTACTGAAAATACAATAGCCTTTTTGAGGCACCTAAAAGAATTTTTTGGTGTCACTTTTAAATTGAAACATGAAGACAGTTCAGGAACAGGAACACAAAAAGTTGTGTTAACTTGTGTTGGCACCGGGTACATAAATTTCAGTAAACGTACTGTTTAATATAAAAAAATAAAAATAAAATTTGTACTTTTACTTAAGATAAATCTTTTATTTAATCTAAAATTTAATGTATAATACAAATATATTTTTTACAGATTTAAAATACTCATAATTACATAAATTACTAATTAATAATTTATATAATTACGCTGTGAAAATGGCAGTTTTATCGAAACTTAATATTTTGAAGCTGTCACAAATATTTTCTGGTTCATAATTGTGTTAAAATATTCAGTCAAAAGATTTCAACATTGTACAAATATTATTAGTTAAGCGAATATACATATCACGAAAAAGTAAATTTGAGTCATCCAACTATATGTGTCGTAAAACATACAAAAACATATACAGATGCCGCAAAAAGCCAATATTTTATTACAAATAATTAGTGACTGACAAAATTAAGGATACAGTTTTTTCATTGGCTATACGCTGGTAATTAATATATATTTTTTTAATTTAGCGCAATGAAATGCCAAATTTTTTGTATGACAGGTTTAATTTTTCTCAACGCTTAATAGAATATTGTAAACGAAAAGAAATATAAATTCCGTTAAATTAAAAAATTGGACTATATTATTGCGATATTCTATTCAGTAAAATTTTTCAGTATTGTCATTTTGGAAGATTTTAGTTGTCTTAATATTTTTAAAATAGTAATAAAGTTTGTGAAAAAATGTGCAGGGTATTCATATTTTGCCCAACGTAAGAGGCAGGCTACGAAAATATTTTTCATTTCTTTACTCGTCAAAATTTAAACTTGTTAGATAATTTTGAATAAAGTTACGTTTCTTTTCTGACTCATGAATGACGGGTTGCCTGGAGTGAAGGGACGAAAATACGAAGGACGATTTCATGTTCGCGCTGTTCCAACATTAAACCGTTTGAATCGTAGCTTTCCATTCTGATTTTAACATCTTCGATTTAATCAAAGAAATGAGAAATATTTCCATAGCCTATCCTAATCTGAAAAATTTGATCGTCTGTTTTTTTCGACTGAAGAATTATAGATACACTAATAGACTGAAATCTATGTAGTACATATATGTTATAGGTAGAGTTAGTCAAATTAAATCAGTCTTAAAAAGTGTACAATCGTGCATTTGGAGTACCTACACAACAATTTTTTTAAGTGTTGTTAGAGGTGTAGTCGGTTAGTGTAAAACTGAGTTTTCGGGATTGAAGGCGTTGCTATTGGGCCTCTATCTTCAAAATTAATTACTTTTTTTATTTATTTTCGTAACCGTGGGTCCAACAAAAATTTTATCATAAATATTTTTGCAGAAGATATTATCTAAAATTTCTACTTCTAACGTCTCGCCATAGCATTAAAAATAAAACAGTTATCAGACGAAACATTGAGAATTTATAGAGCATTTCTTGACAACCGTTACAATCTTATTTACTTTTTTATACAGTTTGTTTTTCGATTTGTCAGCGTTGTGAGGCAAGTTTTATGAAATGTGTGCTTAAGGATGGTGATAAAAATTTGATAAAAATATAATCTAAAACTAAATTTTATAAAACGTAATATTTTAAAGGAAATTTGTAAATTTATTGATGCTAAAAATTGATTATCGAAGGTATCATTTTCTTTATGTAGAATTTACATTTTCTATTTTTGGAATCTTAATAATCTTTGAAAAACTTAGAAGGCCCCCACACTTTTAAATGAAACAAATTTGCTTTGTAAAAGATCCGGTTCATACCTTAAACCTCTAAATAAAATTTCGAAGATAATATTCACAGTACAACCAGATTAAATCAAACACATAATGGCAAAATACCTAGAATTTCAAAAATTTTGTAACTTCGGTCATCTGAAAAACATAGAGAATTGTAGTTTTTCAGACAACTTAAAATTTGCAGAAAGTAGAAGCACATACACCATTCTACAAAGAATTTTTGTTAATTAAAAGCTTTCATGTCTTATTTATAAAATATATAAATTCCATCAAAAATCCAAAAAATGAGTAAAGTTTCAAATAAAATCTTGAAGTGGTACAATTTTAGTATGGATTGCGTAGAGATAAATGTTAAAATTTTTAGAAGTTCCAAAATTAAAATTAATTTTCAAAAATAAAAATTTTTCATATTCAGAAATCTTGAAAGCTTTAGTGTCACAAAACTACCAGATTTATAATACTGAAAGATCCAAAAAAACACATTCTGAATTTCTTATTCTTTATATCCACAACTTAATCTTTTTTTTTTAGTTAGTAAGAACAAAAAATATCTCAATCTCCAATCTGTAATTAAAATATTGTAAGTAGCTGCGAATCGTATATGAAGCACCTGTATACTGTTGTTCTGAGAATTTCCTAACATTTGAAATGATTTAACAATGAATTATTTTGTATTTTTTTGTTGTGAGCACTATTTTTGTTTAACATTTAAAGCAGGGATGACTTTGTATGCCCATATTTATTTCCTATGATTCATGACACCCTAATCCTGCAGACCAATTACAAATACCCCCGATTGGATCAAAACTTAAATTTGTAGGACAGGTGTATTCCCAGCCCAGTACATTACCATTTTCCATTTTGGCACAATAAATAAACTTCTTACAAGAAACTGGATGCGGAAAGTTTCCTTGATCCAGACACTCGATAACCCCATTGCTATGTAACAGAACTTTACTGTTTTCTGGTATTCGACCCAAAATACTCATTTGTTCATCATCGTAATAATCATACTCGCTTAATGGACGGTATGTGGAAACTGTAACCGATGGGTTGATTTTTTCAAATGCCTGAGGTCTGACTTTACGGACGATGAATTTGTTTGTTGTTAACGGTAGAGGCGATGGAGTGGAAAATTTCGTTTTCGATCTAAGTGGACCTGAAAAAGAGAAGATATTTACCAATATACGGTGCTCGTTTGTAATGCTATGGTTGACTGCTGCGTTGTTGTCGATTACCTCGAGTAGTCTTGGTTTTTTTAGATGGGATTCGTACTGTTGTGGGTTTTGGTATAGGAGCTTGCTGAATCTCTTGAAGTGCGATTGCGATATCGCTGAGTTCAGTGGTGTCGCTGCCTTCAAAATTTTCTTCTAAAGATTGTTGATTACTGGATTCTTTGTCTTGATCTGGTGCTTCTTTTATGCTAATTTTAGGGGTGGTAGTACGCGCAAATGGTTTTCTTGAAACAAAGCGATAACGATTGTCTGCCGTTCTAGAAGTTTTTGTAGTGGTTTCTGAAATCAGAATGATATATGTATAGTTTATGAACTGTATAGTCCTTTTAATCATTTTATTCAATACCTTTTGACAAAAACGTTATAAGTTTTAACTATGGTGATCTTAAATAAATAAAGTGGTTTATTATGTTATTATAGTGATTTCAAAATCAGTAGCTAATATTTGAAAAATTAAAACATTTTTATTATACAACGTTTAGTTTAATATTGAAGTTTAAAGAAATTGTTGGTATAATTTAGGTTATTTGATGTTTATTGTAGGTGTGTTTATATTGTAAGGCGTGTTTGAATATCGATAATTGAATTGGATTCGTGTTTATAATGAGCAAAAGGCCAAGTCAGAGAATAATTTGATGTTTGCTTGCAGTTTATAGTTTATTTTCATTGAGATTAAGCTAATCACGCATTTAGTTAGGCGTTTATCGACGTCCGATTGGCGTAGAGTCGGTCATGTGGTATTTTAATACCGCATTAAAAATTTAATCTCAATCAAATATTTAGTTGAGCTTTCGTAAATTGGCTTTCAGTTTTTTATAAAATAATCTTCTATATAACTTGCTGCTACGATGGACCAATGCGTTTCGTTGCATGTAAAATTTGCATATGGAATTTTAACATGACAACAAATTCACAAAAAAATCCTCTTGTTGTCTACTTACATTAAATATAAATTGGAAAATTTGATGAACTAAACTTATTTTTTGGAACAGTTCGTATATGCAAAATTAAAATAAAGGTGGATTATTATACCACAGCACGGACATGTAAGCTGTAGGTTTCATGTGAAGCTTACGTATGTTTTAAGTATCATTATTTTACAATAGGAACGTATTTTTGTTTCCCGAACTTAAGCTAAGGAAGTACTATAGTAGGGTTCATCCGAGAAATGGCTACTTTCACGTTTTCTCGCCGTTTCACGACATCTAGAGTACGAAAAAATAGGTCTTCCGTTTTCATTGCAATCGTTGTTCAAACATTGAAGAACGTTTCAGATAAATTCAATTTCGTCATCATACAAAAAGAGTAAATTTTATTTCTAAATTATTATATCTTATCTTATCACGAAAAACGAACTTTCCACTTTTTACTTACGTGGTTACCTATATGATCTTGATTATCAGTAAATACGTGTCAAAATTTCTTCCACTGCGAAGTATACAGTTTCCAATTACAAACACTTAGTCTTGTGGAAAAAAATGGAGAAAAGTGAGGTGAGTGTTTTACTCCTTTTGTCTACACTCATTTTTCTACTTTAAAATTTCTAATTCGAACCGAAGCAATAATTACGATATTATGTTTCCGTTCTTTACTCTGTCAAAAATATTAATGTTCTGTTAAACATAAGGTGTTTCGGAGAAAACTTTCTTTTTATGGGAACGGTTCTTTAATGAGATCATTTACTTCTTAAAAACTGTTTCTGGAATTTGAGGTTTTTTAACTTTTTTTGTATTAACTATCTTGTGTTACCTCAGTACAAACCTAAATAATAATTTAAACAGGTTCATGAGATACTATTTGCATATATTGTATCTGCACAATTTAAAATTTTGTGAAAAGTCCCAGGAGTTACAATTCATATTTACGTACTGCATAAAAAATGCTTACGAAAATGTGATGGTCAATAATGATAAAGACAGTTTTGATCAGATATATTTTCTTCGCATTATTTATTTAATAAATTAGATAAGATTCTTACAGCCAATGATACAACTTTTTTAGCTTGATTTTGCATTTTTATTATCAGAATGTTGCTGTAAACACTCAATAAGTTAATATCTTATAAAAATATGTTTGCAGTTATTTTCTTATTACGTCATATTTATAAGAGTGATTTTTTTTTAACCTACTATCTATTGATATACTTTAAGTGGTGAATAAAATATTCTACAACCAAATATGTGTATCAAAATAACAAATCTTAAACGACTAACTATCATGAATAGTTATAGTGTCTATTTTTGCATTTTCAGATATTTAAAAAACGAGCGGGCACAACTGACGTGGGCAAAGAATATGAAACCATCACTATAGCCAACATCGTCTTACAAATGGTAAGCGATGATAAAATAAACAATTTCTATATATCGTCAAACGCGGACAAATTCGGTGCATTCGATGATATAGTCGTCAAAATTGAGTCGGATCAAAATACCGTTGTAAAAGCCATGCAGTTAAAGCATAGCGATCGAAAAGCATTGTCCTTGGATCAGCTAAAACCAGTCAAAGGAGATTTTAGTTTAAGCAAATACTTCGAATCGTTCCAACACCTAAAGAATGAAGTACAAGAGTTTATAATATTTACCAATCGTTCATTTGATATTACCGATAAGACGAAGTTTCAGCTTGACGGAAAAATAGTTATTTATGTTACAAGTGTTGAAAACGGTCCATTGCATTACGAACGGGAATACGGCGCGAGACGCAGTCGAGCGCTGTATGTAAGTGAGTAATGCAATGGAGTTTTCACACGAGTATCATACAATATTTTTTGCGCTGCCTTTTTGAAAAAATAACATTTTTCAATCGCTAAAAGAATAAATATTACTGAACCGAAATTATGTTGGTATTGAATTTATTACCAAATACGTCAAATACCAATCTGTCAATTTGTCCGGGCTAGCTTTTGAATTTCAAAGTTGAAATGGAAAATCGTGCACGTATTCAGAAAATTGCAGATAAAGCAACTGCAAATTTGTTGCCTGCAAAATCCGCAGGTCCATATGAAGCAGAATATCAAAAATTCATCAAGTGGTGCGAAGAAAATAAAATACGCGAATTTTCTGAAACGACGCTCTTGGTTTATTTCCAAATTAAGTCGGAAATTATGAAAGCCTCCACACTGTGGACAATATATTCAGTTCTGAAAAGTACTCTTTGCATCAAACATAACATAAATCATTCGAAATTTTATAAATTAACAGCGTTTTTAAAGCGGCAGAATGACACAAACCCAAGAAGTCTGAAATACTTACCAGTGGAAACATTTTTATTTACGGCTCCAGATCAGAGAGAATCTTGTGATTATGATTCAGCGTGAGGTTGCGAATAACGTCAAGTTTAAACGGTTTTTTTAATTAACAAGAACTACTAACAAATAGTAATAACATAATAGTTGTCAACAACATAAACCAAACCATCGAATAGTGTCAACTGTCAAATTACTACAAATCCAAATTTTGATCAACAAATTCCCCTATTTAAGATTACAACTTAAATTGCGCTTTTTTAAAATTTCGAGCCACTTTTTGTTATAATAACTTTAGATACATGATTATCAATTAGTAGTAATTACTTTGTGATAATCAATTTATTTTTTCAAAGCTTAAATTCCTCGTTTGTATTTTGCGGCACTAGATCCTTTTTCATTGCCATTTCGACACGCCACGTGTCAACGTAAAATGTCAATTACAACTATGGCAGCGCAAAAAAACTTTTATGTTCGACCTGTTAAAGTATGTCATTCATCTGGCAACTTAGAAATTTCAAAGAACGTAGATTATGTTTACAAATTTGAAATCGTGGAAGACGCGTGGACTGCACAACATGTTTCTGAACTTCAAGAATACAAAGCATTTTTTACGAAATTTTTTCTTTACACTAATCAAGAAAATTTTGATGCACTAAGACTATCAACAATTGAAAAGTTCAGAACAATGTATTCCTCAAGTGAAAAGGTTTTTGACCAATACTACAAAATAATATCGGAGTGGAATATGCGAAAAGGGAAAAAAGAAAAGTTGCATAAGAAGTGGATGCAACGTGCTATCGCTCTGCAGCTTTTGTCACCATATATTGAGCCCTTGTCTTTTGGTCAAGTTAATGATAAAATGAAAATACTTCGAGATGCTGTGTCTACATTCACCATCACAATAATCGAGAAGAATTTATGTAAAAATGCTACACAACTATGGGGTGATATTGTAAATGAAGAAATCGATATTGGAGAAATAAACAGAATTAGGAGAAATTATCAACTATCTATTGATAATATTCGTAAAAATGATGTGGAGAAATTAGATCCAAAGTTATTGACGCAATTGCTATGGTTAATGAAGAAATGTCCATTAATAATACGTGAAAATGAAAATCTTGAAAAAATCATCCGTCTTTGTGGAGATCAAAAGTTCATCCTGCTTAGTGATGGAACAAACGAAAAATGGATGGAAAGTTATTCGTTGTTTCGCAAACTATCAGACCTAAGTTCGAAACGAGGGTTTTATGAAAAAGTAATTGAAAATTTTACAGTCTCCATTCAAGGAAAGGACGAGCTTAGTCTATTGACAGCTTTCGGAAAAAATGAAGAGTTTCCAGAAAATGTGACAATGTCCCATTTAATGGGCATGCTAAATGAACCACACTATATAGACGGAGAGAAAGAAATACTGTCTAAACCTTATATCGAACGTCAATTATTTAAAAATATTATAGACTTTAAATATCTAGAAAGAGTTCAAGAACACACGATTGTCATTCTAAATTGCTCGAATAACTTTGAGAAAATAAAACACAAACTTCACAATTATAAATTAGTTAATATTGATATTGTTTCAAAAGACAAATTTGAGGACGGTGAAAACATAAGACAAAATGTAATTAGCACAAAAAGTAGTTTTAACGATAAGTTTGATAACTCAAATCTTTTAAAGAAAATTTACATATGTAGTAGTAAATTTACTGAATCTAATATGCAAAAAATATATACGGATAATTCAGAAATCCACACATTTCACTATTTCAAAATTGCGGATAATGGTCACTTAGAATGGATTCAAAGCAAAGGGGATACGAGTGAATTAGAGAATTACAAATTATCTGACAAATGTTTTGTGCACGAGAACGTACTGTGGTCTTCTCAACTAGAAAATAACATCAATCTCATCACTAGTGATCCCGGAATGGGTAAATCGCAGCTAATGAAAAATTTCAAAAACAAATGTCCTCCTAATTACTGGACAGTTACGATTTATCCTAAAGATGTTCATTCATTTTTTAAATCTTTTAAACTGAAACAACCATCGAACTACACTAATTCGTTGGAAGAATTTATTATCCATGAAAAATACGGTTCTCTTAAACAATTGGAAATAAATTTTTTCGAAGAGTGTTTAAAACAAAACCGTGTTCTATACATTTGGGATGCACTAGATGAAATTGTAAACGAATATTTAGATAGTGTTTTAGATATAATACTTCAACTGTCAAAAAGCGGTTTCGTTCAGTGGATAACCAGTAGACGACATCTGCAAACATTTTTAGAAAAAAAATTGAACGTACTCTCACATAGCTTAACACAATTTAACGAAACAGAGCAACAAGTTTACATAAAACAACGACTTGACTCTGTCAGTTCTATAAGTGAAATTGAACTAACGATTCAGAAAATTAAATCTACATTTGCAATTATTGAACATGTTGACATATTAGGAATTCCGTTGCAAATATTTATGGTCACGGAACTATTTCGTCAAAATAATGAAAAATATTTGCAACGTTTAGACAACACATTCCTTTTAACTGATTTATACCGCAGTTTCATCGAAGAAAAATTTAACATATTTTACGAAAATAAAATTGCTTATGATCTTCAGAATCCTCACCTGAAAATTAGAATTGATAAAGAAAAGGAAACAATGTTAAAGCACTACGAAATACTTGCGTTAAAACTAATATATCCCGAGTTTGTACTAAAACAGTTAAATATTAGCTATCAAGAATCGATAAAAAATTTTTCAAATGAGAACTATGCCTTCGTTGGTATCATAACTGAAATACAAAATAACGTTCCACAGTTCCTTCATGGATCCTTTGCGGAATATTTGGTTGCCATATACTTATCGAAAAATTTGAAAAATATACCGATTGATATATTTTTTGATCAAAAGTATAATAACGTACGGTTTTTCTTCGATATGTTGTTAGCAGAAAATTCGCCTGCTCATGTCGCGGTGTTGTACAAAAATTTTGATTTGTTTAAAACTTACGATGATGAGATATTAACACGCAAAGATAAGGGCGGAAGAAGTGCTTTACATTTGATTTGCTCATGGGGACAAAGGCATCCGCGTACAAAAATAATCCGCGTAAATAACACATTCGTTGTTGTAGAGGTTAGCGGTTTTAATGGTAAACCGGAAACTAAAGAATTTCTTGAAGCAGTGACATATTTACAAAATAAAAACAATAATTCAGAACATGATTCTCTATTAGGTTTAACGCCCTTGTTATATACTAGAAAAACTGAAAGTTTGGCGGTCGAATTAAAATTACTATTAAGCGAAAATACAGAATATCTTCAATCAATTACTTGTAATGATAGAATAAACATTTTGTATTACTCTACCCTACTTGCATATGACGACGTCATTGAAGTGTTTAGTTCTCAAAAATTAGGTAACATCAGTCACCATGAAGCTAATTTTATCACAATAGCTAATCGTAAAAGTCCTCTCATCTTGGCATCTGAGGGTGGACACAAAAAAATTATTAAACATTTAGTGAAATCAGGATCCGAAATAAATCACGCAAATAACGATGGCTTTACACCGCTTTACGTAGCTTCACACAATGGCCACTTAGAAACTGTCAAGTATTTAGTGCAATCCGGAGCCGAAATAGATCGTCCCACGAATACAGGTGCCACACCGCTTGGCGTAGCTTCTCAAAAAGGTAACGAATTAATAGTTGAATTCTTGGTGAAATCAGGCGCCGACATCAATTGCGCTGATAAAAACGGTTGTACCGCGCTTCACGATGCTTTATTTGACGGCTTTGACAAAATTGTGGAATGCTTAGTGAAATCAGGAGCTAAAGTAAATCGCGCAGATAATGATGGCTTTACACCACTTTACGTAGCTTCACAAAATGGCCGCTTAGAAACTGTCAAGTATTTAGTGCAATCCGGAGCCGAAATAGATCGTCCCATGAATACAGGTGCTACACCACTTTTCATAGCTTCTGAAAAAGGTCACGAATTAATAGTTGAATTCTTGGTGAAATCAGGCGCTGACATCAATTGCGCTGATAAAATCGGTTTTACCGCGCTTCACAACGCTTCCTTTAGCGGTCACGAAAAAATTGTGGAATACTTAGTGAAATCAGGAGCTAAAATAAATCGCGCAAATAATGATGGCTTTACACCGCTTCACATAGCTTCATACAATGACCACCTAGAAACTGTCAAGTATTTAGTGCAATCCGGAGCCGAAATAGACCGTTCCATGAATGAAGGGGTCACACCGCTTCACATAGCTTCTGAAATAGGTCACGAATTAATAGTTGAATTCTTGGTGAAATCAGGTGCCGACATCAATTGCGCTAATAAAAACGGTTTTACAGCGCTTCGCAACGCTTCCTTTAACGGCCACGAAAAAATTGTGGAATACTTAGTGAAATCAGGAGCTAAAATAAACCGGGCAGATAATGATGGATTTACACCGCTTTACTTAGCTTCACAAAATGGCCACTTAGAAACTGTCAAGTATTTAGTGCAATCCGGACCCGAAATAGACCGTTCCATGAATGAAGGGGTCACACCGCTTCACATAGCTTCTGAAAGAAGTCACGAATTCATAGTTGAATTTTTGGTGAAATCAGGCGCCAACATCAATCGCGCTGATAAAAACGGTTTTACCGCGCTTCACAACGCTTCCTTTAACGGCCACGAAAAAATTGTGGAATACTTAGTGAAATCAGGAGCTAAAATAAATCGCGCAGATAATGATGGCTTTACACCGCTTTACGTAGCTTCACAAAATGGCCATTTAGAAACGGTCAAGTATTTAGTGCAATCCGGAGCCGAAATAGATCGTCCCACGAATACAGGTGCCACATCGCTTGGCGTAGTTTCTCAAAATGGTCACGAATTAATAGTTGAATTCTTGGTGAAATCAGGCGCCGACATCAATTGCGCTGATAAAAACGGTTTTACCGCACTTCGCACCGCTTCCTTTAATGGCCACGAAAAAATTGTGGAATACTTAGTGAAATCAGGAGCTAAAATAAATCGCGCAGATAATGATGGCTTTACACCACTTTACTTAGCTTCACACAATGGCCACTTAGAAACTGTCAAGTATTTAGTGCAATCCGGAGCCGAAATAGATCGTCCCACGAATACAGGTGCCACACCGCTTGGCGTAGCTTCTCAAAAAGGTAACGAATTAATAGTTGAATTCTTGGTGAAATCAGGCGCCGACATCAATTGCGCTAAAAAAAATGGTTTTACCGCGCTTTGCCACGCTTCCTTTAACGGCCACGAAAAAATTGTGGAATACTTGGTGAAATCAGGAGCAAAAATAAATCTCGCAGATAATGATGGCTTTACACCACTTTACTTAGCTTCACACAATGGCCACTTAGAAACTGTCAAGTATTTAGTGAAATTCGGAGCCGAAATAGATCGTGCCACGAATACAGGTACCACACCACTTAGCGTAGCTTCTGAAAATGGTCACGAATTCATAGTTGAATTTTTGGTGAAATCAGGCGCCGACATCAATTGCGCTGATAAAAACGGTTTTACCGCACTTCGCAACGTTTCCTTTAACGGCCACGAAAAAATTGTGGAATATTTAGTGAAATCAGGAGCCAAAATAAATCGGGCAGATAATGATGGCTTTACACCGCTTTACTTAGCTTCACAAAATGGCCACTTAGAAACTGTCAAGTATTTAGTGCAATCCGGAGCCGAAATAGATCGTCGCATGAATATAGGTGCTACACCACTTTACATAGCCTCTGCAAAAGGTCACGAATTAGTAGTTGAATTGTTGGTGAAATCAGGCGCCGACATCAATTCCGCTGATAAAAACTGTTTTACATCGCTTCGCAACGCTTCTCTTAACGGCCACGAAAAAATTGTGGAATACTTGGTGAAATCAGGAGCTAAAATAAATCGCGCAGATAATGATGGCTTTACACCGCTTTACGTAGCTTCACAAAATGGCCACTTAGGAACTGTCAAGTATTTAGTGCAATCCGGAGCCGAAATAAATCGTCCCACGAATACAGGTACCACACCACTTAGCGTAGCTTCTGAAAATGGTCACGAATTAATCGTTGAATTCTTGGTGAAATCAGACGCCGACATCAATCGCGCTGATAAAAACGGTTTTACTGCGCTTCGCCTCGCTTGTTTTAACGGCCACGACAAAATTGTGGAACGTTTAGTGAAATCAGGGGCTGAAATAAATCGCCCAGATAATGACGGCTTAACACCGCTTGACGTTGCGTCTCAAAAACGCCACGAAATAATTGCTGAATTCTTAGTGAAATCAGGCTCTGAAATAAATCCAGCTAAAAACAATATCTGGCCACAGGAAAAAGATTAAATTTTTGGTGAAAGGGGGAAATACAGTTGTTTAAAAAAGGGGATTCCAGATGTGATATTTTATAGCTCATACTTAATGAAAAAAATGTCCTAATACAAATTGTTGTGGGTTCTTTTATGAAAATAATATATCGGCAGCTTCACGAATGTTTATTAATGTGAACGAAGACAGTACAGAATTGGTATCCTCTAAAAGATGATATGCGCTTATATATACTTGGATGGTTTGGTGATAATGAAAGATGACCAATGAGGGGTGGATGATAACAGGATGATTCTTAAAACTAATGGGTTGACATTACACCTCTATCCCTAAAAAAGGATTCAACTTAAGAAGTTGAAAAGTTGAATCTTACAGTTATGATTACATATTATTTTTATTATGTAGGTGTTATTGTAATAATTTTTTTTTTTTTTTTTTAAACGACCGCATTCGTCCTCCTCTGCGCAACGCGTGCGGATCGTCGAGGTGCGAAAATGTTGCCGTGTTCGGCCGGTGGTACGTTTTCGGCCGGTGGTGCGTCTTCCAGAACATCCTGAGATGTAGATGCCATGTAGTGTGCTTCTGCCTCCTCCTCTGGACTTGATGTCTCTAGCGGGGCCAATGCTAGAAATTGCCTCGGCCTTGTGGGGGGCGGCAAGCGTCTTCTTCTTCGCACGACACGATGTACTAGAATGAGTACACCAACGAAGATTACGGTAGAAGCAACGACATAGCCAATGATAGAAGTATGTCTTAGGGTCGTCGCGTGTCTCTGGGCTTCCTCTTCCTTGAGGACTTCCATTTCTAGGTGGTCGAGGTTATGGTTGGCAGCACCTATATCTTGGATAAAGTTGTCATATGCCTTCATCCCAATAGACGGATGTCGTAGCTTTGTCGAATTCAATTTTTTCAGCAGTATTTGGCTACAACAAATCGTTGAGAAGTTTAATGTGGGTACAAGTGAAGCTGGACTCGTCTGGTTCTGGATGCTGGCTTGTGTATTGAGAGTACCGGACTTTGCGTACCCCCTGCAGTTATTCGCAATTGTTATACTCCCTGTACCATTAATTTTCACGTCAAATGGCGTCATATGTATACATGAGATGATAACTGTGTCCACCATCGACGTCACAAAGGCCCAAGAGTTGAGTGAGTGAAGTTTAATAAAGAGTGTATTGTTTAGATGTATCAACTTTTTGTTGCAAGAATTTGGAATAGTTTGAATATTATTATTAACAATTAGAGCTATTTCACAGCTTTGTTCTACGTGAGCAATTTTTACAAATGAGTTTTGTTTGCAAATAAATTTAGGTAAAGTGGAAGTTTCAAACTTGTGACAATGTGAAATTTCGGCTTCATTTAGATAAAAATAAAGTTGTTTGGAGTCATCTACTGCTATGTATCTGTCATTTGGCAAAATTGTTATAAAATTGTTGTTTAAAACGTGAGCAGGCAAGGGTTGCAATTCATAGATATAGTATTGCGTTGCATCTAGAAGTGGAATTTTGACTACGAAAACGAAATTATTATTATTAAAAAATGACACTATAGATGCGACATCAAAGATTAGATGAGAGTTAGTGGAAGAAAGTAATTTAGAGAAAGTTAATTTGACGTTAGATAAAGAAGGGTTTTATCCGATTAGCATGGATTTGTAATGTACGTCTACCCATTTTTATAGTATAATTGACTGGTGTGTCTTTTGATATTATGGTGTAAGGGCCTAACCAAATAGGGTCTAGTTTCTTCGAACGACCGCGTCTAGGTGTTTCATCAAAAAGTAATACTTTATCACCGATGTTAAAGTTATGAGTAACGGTATTTTGATCGTAGATTATTTTACTTGCGGCTTTTTTGTTAATAATATTTTCACGGGCGATGTGATGACTATATTGGAATTTATATTTTAAGTCCATTAGGTAATCGTCATAGTTGTAATTAGGGGTTGATACCTGTGATATGGCTGATGGTATGTTAGCTTTATAGCCGTATAATAATTCAAATGGAGTGTAACCGGTTGTAGTATGTGGAGTGGTATTATATGTAAACATTGCTTTTGGAATAAGGGTATCCCAATTTGTTTGATCGTTATTAATAAAGTGACGTAAATATTCAGCAAGAGTACGGTGGCTGCGTTCCAGCGCTCCGTTGGTTTGAGGATGATAAGCTGTAGAATTGATTTTTTTTATTTTTAGTAATTTACATACATTTTTAAAAAGTTCACTCAAAAAGTTGGTTCCTTGATCTGTTAGAACTGTTTGTGGGGTGCCATGTTTGCAAACAATATGATCAACAAATGCTGAACTAATAGTACTAGATTCCTGATTCGGAAGAGGGATTGCTTCGGAAAATTTTGTTAGATCATCTTGTACGGTTAATATATATTTATTCCCGGCTTCTGTGACACTAAGTGGGCCAACAATGTCCAAAGCAATTCTTTCAAAAGGACTTTTAGCGGTAGTTGTTATTTCTAACGGGAATTTAGTTTTTCTGCCTAGGACTTTATTGCGTTGACAACTGTCACAAGTTTTAATATATTTCTTGATATCTTTCCGCATATTATGCCAGCTAAAACGTTCTCTGATGCGTTTGTACGTTCTATTGGCTCCTTGATGGCCGCCTAATGGGGTGTCATGATATTCTCTGATAATACTTAGCTTTTGCTCCTTACTGATTTCGTCATAGTTTGAACTATCATTGATATAAATATTTGTATTTAGATTTTTAAAAGTGTATCTAAGCATTGCGCGAATTTTATCTTGTTTTAAGTGTAATTTAGGGCAAATTTTAAGAAATGTTAGTTTGTTTATTTGGTTGGAAATCGCGACATTTCGGAGAAATTCAATTTGGTTCCAAATAGTTTCATAATTTACATTATCGTTAGCAGTTTCACTGACTATAAAACAATATAAATTCTGGTTATTATGGCTCAATAAGATATGATCTCCTATTGTTAAGTTAGGTTTAGATTTTAGGATTTCGCAAATTTTAAATTGGTTTTCCAGTGATCTCAATGTTGTTTTTTGAAGATCAGTCAATAGTTTTGGTACAAAACAGAATAAAGTATGGTCCCGGGGCACTGACGAAACTGGAATGTTTTTATCAATGACTTTGTCGTTGATAATTATGCTTGTTTGGCAATGTTCTAAAAATTGATCGTATGAGCTAGTTGGGTTATCATTAGTGAGAAAAAGTCGACTTAAACCATCTGCATTTGTATTAGTTTTACCTGATTTATAAATGACTTTGTATGAGTAATTTTCCAGTTTAAGTCGCAAATGAGTAAGTCTTGTGCCTGGATCTTTTATATTAAATACGTAAACTAAAGGTTTGTGATCTGTAACTATCGTAAATAGATTTCCTAAAAGATATGGACGAAAATATGTAACTCCCCACGTGATAGCTAAAAGTTCTCTTTCCGTTGTAGAGTAATTTTTTTCTGCAGAATTTAAGGTTCGGGATGCAAATGCGATAGGTAAATCATTACCAATTTTGCCTTGTGATAGTACGGCGCCAATTGCAGAACCACTGGAATCTGTTGTTAGAATAAATGGCTGTGTGAAGTCCGGAAATTGTAAAATTGGTGGAGAAGTTATTTTTGTTTTTAATTCTTGGAATGCGGATTGGCAATCTTGTGTCCAGTTGAAAGGGACATTTTGTTTTAACAAATTATAAAGTGGCAAGGCGACTTTTGCAAAATTAGGGATAAACTTACGATAATAGCCAGCTAAGCCTAAGAAAGCTCGAACTTGTTTAACGTTTTTTGGTATTATGCAGTTAATTACGGCTTTAACATTGTCTGGATTAGATTTAATACCAGATTCTGTTATGAGATGTCCTAAATATGTGACTTCTTTACGCAAAAAATGACATTTACTGGGCTGTAATTTTAAATTGTGTGCGCGGAGTTTAGCAAAAATTTCATATAATTTTTCGTCATGTTCTTTTAAAGTGGATGCATAAATGACTAAATCATCGATATAGATAAAACATCTGATTCCTTGAAGTCCAGCAAGTACAGAGTTCATAAGTCGTTGACAAGTTAAGGGTGCTCCTTTAAGACCAAAGGGCATACGTTTAAAGTGATAATGTCCAAATGGCGTACTAAAGGCTGTTTTTTCACGATCATTTGGGTCCATTAATATTTGGTGAAAACTACTGGCAAGATCGAGAACTGTGAAATACTTTGATCTGCCTAATTGATCCAAAATGTCTGTTATATTAGGTAAGGGGTATACCATATCTTTAGTGATATTATTGAGAGCTCGATAATCGACTACTACTCGATACTGTTTTTCGTGAGTATCTGATTTTTTTGGAACTACCAAAAGTGGCGCATTGTAGGGGCTGTTGCTTTCTTCGATAATTCCTTCTTTTAACATTTTTGCCGTATGTTCGCGAATAATTTGTCTTTGAGTATAGGGAAGGCGATACGGTTTGATGTTAGGGATGGCTGCTTCGGAATTTGTGGGAATAGTATGCATTACGGTGTTCGTATGGGTCAATTTATCATTTTCTAACAAAAACAGGTCAGAGTATTCATCGCAAATTTTTGAAATTGACGCTAGCTCTTCACCATTGAGATGTTCTAAATCCAATTTTGAAAGAATGATGTTGTGTCTGTCAACACTGCTAACTGCGTTTAAAGTATCTTGCAAATTACTGTTAGTATTTACGTATAAAATATTATCTGAACTGATTGACATGAGATGAATTGTTGGTTGTTCCATGATTACATCTTTGTCGGACATATTTAAAATAGACACTAAACATTTATAATTGTTTGATGTAGTAATGCAGGAACTAATCAATACATTGTCTTGTAAGTTAGTATTTTCATACATGCCGTCACCAAATTGAAGATTGTTTTTTACTATTGTGAAAACTTCCGAATTTTTTGGTAGAATGACTAAATTAGTATTAGAAGGATGCATTTCCCATTCTAATTGATCAATTGATAAGATGTTTGACGTAAAATTAATTAGTGTTTTATTTATTTTAATAAAATCGTTACCCAAAATACCATCATTTTTAATTGGAAAAGTATCGGGAATGATATGAAACTCATGTTTTATTACAGTGTCGTTTTTTTCTATGAACAAAATGCATGTTCCCATAGTAAAAACTGAGTTATTGCTAATACCTCTAAGTTCTTTGATATTGTAGCTCTCTACGTGACAACTAGATGGAATTTTACTACGTTTTATTAGTGAAATTTCTGCACCTGTATCTACAATAAGGTTCGCAAAAACAATGATGTCACTAATTTTATTGTGAATGTTAGACGGAAAATTAAACTTAAATGTAACTATATTTAGGTTACTTTCTACAGTGCTTAAAAGTACAAAATTGTTTTTATTATTGTTATTAATTAAATTATTATTATTTATCAAGTTACTTTGATTTTTACTACCTATTATTTTATAATAATTTCTAATATTAAAATTATTTATTCTAAATCTATTTTTCTTTTTAGGAATATAACTTTTAACTAAGTTTACTACATCTACTGATAAGATTAGAGACATAATATCTAAAAGAAATGTTAAAACTAATAAAATTAATATATTTGTGTTATTGTGAGATATTCTAGTTTCTTTTATCACGGACATTAAATTATCTTTAACGATTAGTTTGGTTTGCGTATTTGTATTCGTAATTGGTTTAAAATTGTTTAGTGAGTTATCTAAATTATTTGTTTGGTGAATAGGGTTTAAGTTGAACTTATTTCTGTCTATAATTATTTGTGGGCTATAATTACTATTGAAATTATCCAAAGGGTTGTGTACAATATCTATTATAATATTGTCTTTGCTACTATCGACATGATCTGAAGTTAAAGACATGCCGCTCATAGTAAATGTTTGTGAATTTGTTGATTTTAAATTTGATGAAGACGAGATTAAAGTTTGTTGTCCCATGTTTGGCGGCGTCGCATGAGACATTATTAGTTTTCCTGATTCTGATTATTATTAATTTGGGTTTCGGATGATGTTGGCGGTTGTGGAATATTGTCAGAAAAATTATGCCATTGATATGGGTATGGATATGGGAAATATAAATTCCCGGGCTGAGTTGAAGCATAAAAAACGTTTGAGTGATTGGTCGTATTATCAGTAGTACGGTTCCATGATCTAGGATTCGATCGAAAAGAGGAATTTGATGGCATAGGCTGGTTTTGATGGAATCGAGAATTTGACGAGATATTAGGTTGGTTTTGATAAGATCGAGAATTTGACAACATATTAGATTGATTTTGATGAAATCGAGAATTTGACGACATGGGTTGGTTTTGGTAAGATCGAGAATTTGACATGGGCTGATTTTCAGGGAATCGAGAATTAGTTGATCTAGGCTGATTTTGGTGGAACCTATTTGAATTATTTGACCTATTTGGATTATTTGAAAAATTGGTATGTTGCGAAAAAGGAAACGTGTTTGAAGAATTTGGCCCTTGATTATTGGTGGGTTGTGTATAGTTTTGTTTTCGGCAGAAATTTGTACGAGTTTCGTAATAATTGTAATGACATTCTTTTGTAGTATGGTTGTTTTTGTTACATATGGCACAATGTTTAGGATTACGGCTATTAATATGTAATAGGGACGACTGAGATAATAATTTATTCGAGTTTAGGTTATTTTCAATTGTCTGTGCAAGTTCGATAGCTTTAGTTATTGTGGTAATGCTTGATTTCGTTAAGCAATCGCGAATTTCGTCAGAAACTAATCCACGACGGTAACATAGTAAAAGAAATTCTTCATTGCTAGCTCTTACTGCCACGATATCATCGGGTGCCAATGTAGAACCTGGGTTAATACATTCCTCGAAAATGTTATTTAAACGTTTGCCAAATTCGGAAACCGATTCATTTAATCTTTGATTCTCGTTCATGAGGCGCATATGCCAGTTGGTACTTTTAACGTTGCACTGCTCCGACAAAATCGTTTTAAGTTCTAACCAACTATTAATTATTTTATTTCGTACTGACTCTAAGGCTTTACCTGTAATTTTTGTGTTAACGAGTAATTTTAAAAATGTAGTCTGTAAGGTTGCGTCAACTAGTGCTGACATACCTTCAACTTGAAAAATAAATTGAGGAAGAGACGATTTATCACCATCAAAAGGTGGTATTAAATTAATATATGCTATGATATCTTTAATTTCTTTGGCCATTGTGAAGCGATGGTGATTTATATAAGTTTATTATTTAACACGGTATGGTACGAAAAGTAAGTAAAATCACAAAAACTACAAAATGCGTACGGAAATTCGGTACTCACCTCAGCATTTCTTCTAATGATGGTCACTTGTAAAACTTAGTAGCACCGCTGTCACCAAAATGTTGTGGGTTCTTTTATGAAAATAATATATCGGCAGCTTCACGAATGTTTATTAATGTGAACGAAGACAGTACAGAATTGGTATCCTCTAAAAGATGATATGCGCTTATATATACTTGGATGGTTTGGTGATAATGAAAGATGACCAATGAGGGGTGGATGATAACAGGATGATTCTTAAAACTAATGGGTTGACATTACAAAATTTCGCATAGTTTACACTATTGCTCTTTACGTAATAGGTAATAACATACATACACTCTTTTACATACATCGTAGAGTTGCAAGTGTTATAGCGTATAGAACAATACTATTAAACGCAATAATTTATCACTCAGTTTCACCTATGCTTTGTCTCGAAAATATTTTATCATTTAAAGAAATAATGTCTATAATTTCAACTAAGTATGTGAAATAACGATTTATAAAGTTATATCTACGTTATTGTGTTCGATGTGTGTTAAAAAAACGAAAAACCGTCCACTAATGCCGACTGCATTTTCTGTTAAGAATACAGTCAGTGTTCTGAAATTTTTCTGTATGTATGTACATTGTTCGGTTCAGTTCAAATTATACTACTGAATACATCAGAGACTTGCTTACACCATGACAATCGATTCAAACTACAGGTATTTGATGGCGTCTAGCAGTTTATGTAAGGAATTTTTATATTTCTTTACCATAATACTTATCTGAATTTAAATTGTTATAACCTTCGAGTCGTCCATTCAACACTCTAATTCATGACGTGTGGACAGCATAATAATATTCTAAAATTTCAATTTCTATTTAATACTCCAATCAATTGAAGACTGCATCTTCTATGTGAGTGCTTTTATACTTTTTTAATTCAAAATCCACTAAACATTTGTTACAGATTAACATTTCATCACCACTAAATGCAGATGTTCAGAATAAAGTAATTTTCTACAGATTCTACCAGAAAATTGAATTTTTCATCACAGCTTTGGCATCAAACAAAGGTATGAACCCAAAAATAAATATGCATATATTTGATACTCCACAGTATACAGTCAAGAACAATGACGTATTTCGTTCTCAAAACAACGAACGGGGCGAGATTCTAAAACTCAACATACCCTTTATATTGGAAATATAGTGTGAAAACTCTCAAGAACGGACCTTATCCTAAGCGATCATGAAGTCCAGAGTGGAGATAACATAAGAGACTTAATTCTGTCACCGAAGAATAAAAGGGGTGTTAAGCATCGTTGCAGGTAATTATAAGTAATAACTAAAACGTTAAAAATGTGGTTGTATGTGTACTTTGCATTCCTTTCGGTAAACTATCATACTTAGTTTTTGAAAATAGTGTGCAGTGGGAAAGGTGTTTTTAACTATGACTTATTGATCTATGCCTCTACTTCCATAATCTTACCAGATTTTCTGTGTTTATACATTACCGACACTCAATTTTTAAATTACAGTTTCACCGGCATAAGCTCAACTGTGGTGATTATTCTTTAAACAAGAACAATTCGTAAAGCGGGAATTTATGTGAGAAAAGTCAAACTCTTACCAAATAAAGAAGATCATGTTTTCGTGGAGCTCCTGACTATCATCTAACCAGACGGAGAATTCATGAAAATTACATTCTGAAGCGAAAACTGGCAAGCATCTATCGACAGTTACTTTCATAATTCAAGTTTCAAAAAGTGGCTTATTGTCATATGCATACATATAACTAAGAATTACTTCTAACTAATTTGTTTTATTTACATAATATAAATATATTTTTGCAAACTCATTAAACAGCATAATTTTAATATAGAGATATCGATATGCGGCAAAAACCAAATTTATGACATATACGATTTTACGAACTATTCCAACATAGTTTCGTGGAAACAACAATAGAGCATTAGTATTAACTGACTCTGGAATACCTACAAGAATCTGCTGATCGATATATTTTTACTTCTCGAGCGTAAGCTAAGGAAGTATAGTAATCGAGTCCATCGGCCGAATTGCTACTTTCATATTTTCTCGACGTGTCATGACCTCAAAAGTACGAAAAAAGTGGTCTCCCGTTTCCATCTATCTGTCTGTCTGTCTGGTCTCTGCATCCATTTTTATTAGTAATCTCCGAACCTACTGGACCGATTGTTGTACATTTTGTATGTATATTAGGAATATCATGTAGATGGTTAAACGCTAACTAAAATTTGGATAATTATTCCCACCACTAATGGAATGAAGTCATGACCAAAATTTATAATAAAAAGTTTTTTAAAATTTTATAAAATTCCTGCCCTTGTAGTGTCGATTTTCATCCTAGACATCTAGAATTTTTGGAAGAAATTCAAAACTGAATAACAATATGTTGCAATAGGTATAACTTTGAAACTCCAAAACCGATTGTTCTAAAATTTTGTAAATATTTGAAGGTTAATGAATACGATCATGGTTAAGCAAAATTTGTTGGTTTATCCCGTCCCAAAAAATTGATGACGTCATCTCAAAATTTTGCCGAATAAATCCCATGCACATTGTGCAAAACATGATGAGTCTATACTTGTTATTTATCATTGCATTAAAAATTTTTAAATCTCTCATAAAAATTAATGAATGGGTCAATTTATTTTATTGATTAAATCGGGAACGGCTTACTCCGTTTTCCCGAAAATTTGGAAATACAATACTGTTACCATGAGTATTACAGTGCACCTAAAAAGTACTATACGTGTCTTTGCAAAAATGTTGATGACGTCATCACAAAATTTTGTTACATTTATTTTAACGTTACATACATATCTTTATTTTAACTTTAAGGGTTTGCATAAAAAAATCAAATTCGCATAATCAAATTTCATAATTTTTCGAAAAAGCTAGATTGGTTTTATGGTATTTTAGGGGCGAGGGAAGTTCTGTCGAAATAACTTTGGACTAATTTTTTTATAAATATGATAACAAAATTAAAAATAACTGGTTAACCAATTCTCGGTGCTTAGGTACATCTTCATAACGTAATAAAGTGTGGACATTTTTGATAAAATGTTTTGGATTTATTATTAAGCTGCCGGAGGAAGTCGTCCAGAGTCCTAATGTTAATATTTTTAATTCATTTAACGTCTTGTAAATGACAATATGATCTGCTCGAACTACAGTGTGAAACTTCAAAGCACGCAATACAATATTTTTTATTAAGTATTTTTTTTACGAAATTTATTTATTTATTTAAATTTAAGAAGGAAAATTCGAGAGTGAACTGCGAAAAAATTCCTTCAGCGACCCATTGAACACTTTGCGAAGTTAAGAATGTAAGTAAGTGTCAAGTAAATTATATTCCCCATGTTTTACTTATATTGACTTTTTTAGCAGAGTTCTTTCGTTCTAAAAAATGAACATCAAAATTTTGTAGATTTGTTTTACAGGATGTCATTATTCATTATCTTTTTAGGAACTCATAAGAAGTAGTTAAAATTTTATAACCCATAAGTTAATATATATTAGAGTTTCAACAAAATATCTAAAAACCGCGTTTTTGTATTTTCTGAGATAAATGGGAAAATTTGATGCCAAAGTGTATTTTTTTAGATCATGGAATATTAAATTTCAAAGAGGACTTGGTTACTGGAATCATATCCAACGATTTTGTAAACATAAAAAATGCTTCAATAAAATTTATTTTTATTCTTGTAACAGGAAATTTTGGTTTATTTTTAAATTATGAGTTATGACACGCTATTCTCTTATATTTACGAGTACATCACAAGAAGCGGTTAGTCTTTTTAGTAACATTTAATAAACATCACCTAAATTTCTTCATTGCAGTCAGTTTAGAGCAGTTTCATCGATAGTTTTCTCTGTTACGAAATAATTTATACTTTTTATTTGAATATATTCGTACGTACTTATGTACGTTTTATTGATTTTTATAACTAATAAATAATAATCGTCGAACAAAAGTTGTCTAAGTTAATTTCGACAGAACTTCACTCGCTTCTTCGAATAATTATAAAATTTTATTTTTTTATAGTAACCCTTCTATAAGTTAAAATGAAATTATGTGTGTAGCGTTAATGTAAAATGAGTTTTTCCATTACGAAATTTCGTTATGATATCATCAAAAAGGACACATACCTATACCAAATTTGGATACCTCTGCATTGTAATACTAATAATATTTTTTTTTTGGAAAATGGGGTGAGTCGTTCTTGATTTGATCAAGAAAATAAATTGCCTCGTCCATTAATTCTTGAGTCACCGTGTAAATGAAAATACATTCATAAACCCCAAGTATACACATTTTTGCACATTTTAGATGGGATTTATTCGGTAAAATATTGAGATGACATCATCAATTGAGGAGGGGGAGGGTGAAAATTTTGATTAAGGATCTACCTTGCTTACGATAACTTTAAAAATGTTGTAAGATTTCAGACCATTTGGTTTCGTATTTTCAGAATTAAATTGTAAAATATTAAGGTAAAACTTTGATATATTTTTTAAAAATATATATGTCTAAAGTAAAAAATGAAGACCGATTCATAATCCACACGTGTAGAAATATGTTACTTTATTAAATTTCAATAACAGTTACCATGGATAATTTTGAGGTGACCTCGTCACGCTATTGGTGGGGATGATTAGACAAATTTTGGTTATCGTCTTACCATCTACACGATATTCCTAAAATACATACAAAATTTGAGAACAATGGGTCCAGTAGTCTCCGAAATTTCAATCTGTGTAACAAAAATCGACACAGAGGATAGACGTCAGACGACAGACAGGTAGGGGCGGTTAGTATGATAACGGGATAAAAATGTATTCTCAGTTTCTTCGTACGTACTTAAATTCGACCATTTATGTGTATACTTCGAAAGAATTCGACTATTATCACGTTCGTATAACAACCATCAGCAGCGGCATTTGTGTAGGTATATTGTGTTAAAAGAAAATTACATTTGATTTAATTTCTCCTCACCACAGAGGTGAGGACTAATTATTTAATTACTTAATCACACTCGTTTCTTTTTCACCAAAAAAATTGGATGTCTGGCGTGAACACTGAACACTCAAATTTTAAGAACTGAAATTGAAAAATGACGTCATTATTTGGGGGAGGGGGGACAAACCAAAAATTTTGATCAACGATTTACGATGTTGAAAATGTTAGCAAGATTTCAGAGCATTCGGTTTTGCAGTTTCGAAGTTATATTGCAAAATGTTATAAAATTTGATTTTTCTTTAATCGGGATGTCTAGAGTAAAAACTCAACATGAATTCATAAATTACAAGTGCAGGATAAGTACTTATCTTATTTTGTAAAATTTAAATAACGTTTACTTAAATAATGATATTTCTAACATGTGTATTTTAAAAATTTGACAACAATCGCAGACGGAAACGGAAACCTATTTTTTCGTACTCTAGGGGTCATGAAACGTAGAAAAAACATGGACTCGATTACAATACTTCCTTAGCTTAGGTATCTCTCTCGATTATATTAATCAATGTTAAAATAGTGAGTACAATCACAAGCATAATGTAGAAACAACGTATAATTTTTTCAGGCGGATACTAACACGGGAAAGTCATTAAATGTGTGCTAACGTTAAAGCTTTGCTCAATTAGATTATCCATTGGGTTTACTAGAGGGTACAATATGATTGGTTCTACTTAGCTTTTCGGCTGAATTTGGTTCGCTTTAATTAAAACATGAATTAATTTTATACAAACGACGGAAAATTGCACACGAAATGTTTCTCTCAACGGATAAAAAAAAGATGTCAAACGAAAGTTGATAATATAATTAGTGGTTTTATAATAAAATTTAATGTTTAAAAATTAAACGAAGCCTTCGGCGGTCAAAGATTTTCTCTAGTTTGTCTGCTTCTTTTAGAAAACTGAAATTTTGTGTATTGTACCTACTGTGACGATTTTTGATTGTCACAGTAGATTGTAAGACCAAAAATGCAAACGAACGTCAAAGATGCAGGGAAAACACAGCTTTATTGTATAACAATAAATACTGCATTTGAAAGCAGGTAACGTCAGGTTGGTAGGTATACATATATTTTTTCCAGTATCTGATTTTATGTTAAGAGACATATATGGATGAAGTATACAGTGTGTCAACAAAATATCGAATAAATTCGATCCATAAACCGTCAGTTGCTGCGACGTCATTGTTATTTTTTCTCTACCAACTCAGTTTTTGTGTTACTTATTTCAAAACAAAATGCGATGTCTGTGATTCTAAATTTTGAGCTTATCTGCCAAAAAAACTCGTTATATTCTTAACTTTTTGATGAAAAAATTTATTTACCTACTAAATTTGCCATCGTTTTTTTTAAATTAAATTAAGATTTTGTACTGAATTCAAATTTGCCTACAAAATATTTGGATGATAATTTATCACTATAGTAGATCATCATAAACCCATTCAGATATTGTTGCCCACTTTGGCGACAGAAATAATACGTCAGAAATTTTTATATTTTTTAAGAAATAATTTTGTTACTTTCAGTTCAACCGGTATCATGGTCACAAGAATGTATTTTTTCTGTGATTCCGATATTCCATGTAGAACACGTAGCACGTGTTCTGTAAAACTGGGTGTTTCCGTGTCAAGTGAAAGTTAAATATAATAATTTATACTAAGGAATTAATGTTATAGGTATGTACTCAGCAGTATATAAAACATTCCTTTTTAGAATTACCTAAAAATGTACTTCCTTCGTCATAGTAACAATCTCCTGATTTAAAATGAATTTATTCAATTCTATGGAACGGTTTCTTTGGAGTGCCGTAACGATAAGCAATCGATTTCAATGCAATGCAAACACTTTGGGCAAGGTAAAATCCGAACAATAGTAAATATGCAAATGCAACAGCCCAGAAATCGTTACGTGATGAGGAAATAAGAACAGTGACTTTATGTAACTACCAATTAAGAACGACATAATCGAGTGTCTCCTAGTTTCAAACAATAATTACGGAACAAAACCGACAATTTCTCAAATGGCAAAGTTTTGAAATTTTTGCATATAATAAAAAACCGCGAACGTGTGAGAAAGGATTATCGACTGACAAACAACTAAAATATCGTCATTAATCTCTCATCTTCGTCAACAATCTCACCTTGACTTTCTAATGGTTTGAAGGTTTGTAGTGGGTATTTTCTGCGTGTGATTTTAGTCGGCCTGGAGCTGGTCTTTGGTGCGGTAGTCGTAGCTGCTGTTGTTATTACGGTCAGTGCAGGTGAAGTTTTCCTTCTGCCTCCAACACGGAACAAGAAAGGAGTCGTTCCTCGACTACTCTGGAAGTAAAAGGACTCGTCAGGACATACTACGAAGTTAAAAATGTTTTTTGTTAAATGATGCTACTACTTTTGTTAGATCTACTTTGTTTTTACTGTGTATTACATTATTGTGTACAAGTGGCTGTGCTTCCCCACTACAGGTCAACCTACTTATATTTCATTTTTGAAAAATAAATACTAGGAATTTTTTGAGTTTTATTTTAATAACTAACATGCAGTTAATGTGCTACTCATGCTGGTTACAGAAAACTACCGATTCAAAAAATGGTAAAAGTTGTACTTACACTTGTGTCTAATCATCAAGAAAGATACTGGAATTTAATAATGGGTTATCTATATACTTTTTTATTTATTAAAGCAAATCGTTGCATTGTGGTTCTTTGAAATATTCGTCTAAGTGTTAATTTTATTTGTTTTGCATCCATAATTCAATTAGGTTTTTCCATGGGTTGATAAATTGCCATAAAATTAGAATAAAAAAAAGGAATCACGAAAGTGAATCATTGTGTTACGATCTTTTTAACACTGTAATAAACCACAAAACTTTCCTTCTTGTGGTAAAAGTTGGGATAAACCAGTGAATCTTAAAGCTTTTTATTTAATCACTTGCTTGGTGATTTTGTTTTAACATTAACATTTTGGCCAAAAATATCTTCCAATTTATGATCTTCTCAAACAATATTTGATGTTTGGTTGAGTACGTAAATTTAAACTCATTTTTTAAGTTATTATATTGCGATATTCTTGTCCGCTAGTCATTTTTCATAGTACGAAAAATAAGTGTTACATTTTAAACTAGGAGATATCGAAATGGCACAACAAAAATTGAAATTTAGGAGCAAAAGCACTTTTTAATGATATATGCATTTTATTTTGTTCAATTGTCCTTTAAAATACAGGTACGCTTCAATTTAGGCAAAGTAATGTATTATTAAATATATTTTAGATCTTTTTCAACATATGTATTTAGTATAATACGTAAAGTGTGTATTTATACACAAAAATTGTAGATCGCTTTATTAGGTACTGTTAATATATAAATTGTTCCCACTCATTTAGGTCCGTTTCACCCTAATTAAATGTTATCTGGAATAAATAATGGATCTTCGTACAGGTATTTATAGTTTTTGTACAAATTTCATGTAAATACGTTATTATTAATTTTTTGTTTAATCCTTCTTGTTTTGTTTAATTACTTCTTTCCCTTTCTCTCTATTTGTAATTTTCAGTCAAAGTAACTCACTGGTGTACATTCAAAAGTACTTGGCAAAATATTTTGACTGCAAAGATTTACTTTTAATAAATAAAATATAGTGAAGCAGTGCTTTATAACTACTTAACAAATAAAAATCTTTTGAATTTTGTTTGTGGTAGGTGCTAATAAATGTCTCTATAATAAAAATAAAATACCTATTTCAAAAGGTTAAACAAAGCAGTGCAAATGATTTGGAAAATTCCAAAAATGGTTGATGGCCAGTTTGTTTACGCAGAATGTCAACTTTTTAAATGTGAATCATTAAATTTCCATGAACGAGAAGAACTTGACGGCCGTGAACCTTCACCTTATTACTTTATAATGCAGTATTAAGAAAGGAAAAAAAAAAGAAAATGCAAAAGTAATCAAAATATTGTATTTAAAAAATAAAAAATATTTATAATTATAATTTCACAAATATGGAAAGGACTCACTGGCCATACAACACTAAAAAGTTCAAGAAACTAACCATGTTATGGCACAAAGAGAGAGGAAATTGAAGAAGAACATAGTGCAATATATTACAAAGGTGCGGTTATTTACAACAAATTTATTCACACTGAAGTACACACAATTTAAATTAAATTCAAAAATACAACAACATACATATTTACATACATAACATCTCAATAATACTATTCATTATTTATAATTACTCTAATTACTACTTTCTGTTTTAAGTATTTGGAGAGTGACTTTAGGTACACCATTGTCATATTTCATGTCAAAGTCTGACGGATGTATTAATTTTCGCGACATTTCGACTTGAATTGGCACAATTTTTATAATGTCTTTATTAGTCTTTGGAGTGACTTCCACTACTTCCGCTCTCATTGTAATGTAGTCTCCTTTTGGAACCCTAACTGGTACAATTTGACTCTCGTCTTTTGTTTCTCTATCTTGATCAAGAACTCTAACATTAATGTACCGCGAATTACCAGTTTCCAGTATTTCATCATCACTTGAAGGCTTCAGCAAATTTACATTAATGTTATTCAGTTTTTGGGGAGTGTCGGTTTGAAATAAAGCCTCAAGAGATATTGTTGATGCCTCTGTACTGTAGTAAGGCCGTGGTGTAATTATGTTAATATTTGATCTTCCATCGATAATTTCGGCATTACTTTTCTCATCTGTTTTCATATCTTTGCTGCTATAATCTATAACCTGGCTTCCTCCGTAAATTTCGAATTTGCGGTCTTGTCGTTCACCTGATATTTCTGCGAGGTTTGTGAATCCGTGCAGTCCAATTTTAACTTGGTCGTTCGGAATTTCTTTAACTGTTGCAATTTCAGGGGCAATTATTTCAAAATTTTTGGTGGTACTGGTGTCAGCAGTTTCAGACGTCGTTTCTGATATTTCGTTTTCTTCAGGACTTGGATTACCATCAACAACTTTAACTACTGTAACCCTGTTAATAACACCAATTTTGTCAATAACTTTGTTGTCCTTTTGTACGTCTGTATTATTCATTTCATGTACTTCTACTATTCTGTTCACTTCTATTAATTTTTCTACCTTTGTAGAATCTGTGACATTTTCGACTGTAGACAACGTTGTTGCCTCAGTTGTAGTAGTTCCTTTATCAGAAACTAGTTCCGTTTCTGCAAAAATATGATGCAAAGTGGTCAAAAATTCAGTGGTTTCGGCAACCGGCGCAGGTTTTGTAACAGACTCAGAAGTGTCAGGTGTTGTTGTAATAGAAACTGCCTTAGTCGTACTTTCAGTTGTTGCTGTTAGATCATACGCCGTACTTTCAGTTGTTGCTGTTAAATCAGCTTTCGCACTTTCAGTTGTTGCTGTTAGATTAGATTTTTCTTCAGTTACGTTTACGTTATGTTGTGCAGGTCCGGCAAATGGAGTGTTCATTTTACGTTTCTTAGAAAACAAATTTTTATTCCTATTTTTCACAGCTTCCGTATCAATGTCACTTAAATCTTCAGCAACTTTAGAAGTTTCGGTTGTTTTCCTGAAAGTATGTCCTTCTGGTCTGTTGCTCACTCTTGGTTTACTCTTTGTAGTGTAAGTTTTAGGTGTATAACTACTCGGCGTTCTTGGTGTGTAAATTTGTTCTTGAATTTCTTCCTCTTCGTCGTCTTCGACATCTTCTACTTCTTCGTCCAATTCATCTTCTGGTTCTTCGATTTCCTCCTTAGTTACAAATCTGTTTCTTTCGGTGGTACTATAATTATAGAGGAATCTATTTTTCAGTGGTGAAGTTGGAGTCGTAGATCTCGAACTCGGAGTGACAAATCTAGATTTTGTCGTTTGACCTCTGTTCCTTTGATTAAATCTACGTGACGGTCTGCTAGGGTTAATAGTACTTTCAGTTGATGCTAATCGCTTCGGAACGTTATATCTTGGTCGATTCTGAAGCGACCGCAGTGTACTTTTAGAATGATAAACCGGAGTAGTTTCAGGGGTTGTTGTATCGGTACTACTGGTGCTTGTATCCTTGTAATTTATAGTTGTTTCATTCAGTTCATTTTCATTTGATAAGACGGTATTTCTTGAGAGATCGCTTAGAGTACTTTCAGTTGTTGTGCTGTCTATACTGTCTGTACTCAGGTCGTTGTAATTAATAGTTGTTTCATTTTCGTGAATTTCCGCTGAAGGCAAAGTACTCTTTAACAGAGACGTTTGAGTACTTTCTGTTGTAGTACCATTCGTGCTAACGGTGCTAGTGTCACTGAAATTTATAGTTGATTCCTCTGTAATCTCTTCAGTGAAATTTTTAGTTGTACTAATTTCAGATATCTTTAATGTTGTTACTTCTGGTACTACCGTTTCACCATTAGTTACGTGAAATTCTGAAGTTTCATTTATTTGATCGTCAGAAGATGTTGTTATATTTATAAAAGCTTCATATTCTTTTGTGACTGGAGAAATTGCAATAGTAGACTCTGTTGTGAAATTCGATTCGTTTTCCTTGTTCTCAATGTTGTCAGTGTTATTATAAGTTTCCTGACCGTCTTCTGCAACTAACGTTGTAATTTCTACAGCCTGAGTGGAATTTTCGTCTTCAGTTGATGTTACAATTCCAGATTCAGTCGTAGTGTTATAAAAACTGTCTGTGGTACTGTTTGTTTCCACAGTTTCTACAGATGAATTTTCTACTGTCGACTCTGTTCTGTTTTCGTGTCCAACGGTCAAGTACCTATTACGACTGAAACTCTTTGGAACGAATTTTCTCTCCGGTTTTTTATTGTCAGTCTCTGGATTATCTTCTGTATCAATATGTATTTTAGATGGACGAAGCGTACTTCGAGAAAATGACTTATACTTAGGTTTATTAGCTGAAATTGTTCGTAATGGATTTTGGGTAGTTAGTTTCGGTCGTACAAACGCAGGTCTATTTTTTTGTCTACTCAGAATTGGATTAATATAATTCCTAACAGTGGTAGTCGTTGTAATGTTTTGTTCTCCTTCGTCGTCACTAATTTCTAAATTTTCTCCATCTGCTCCTTCGTCTCGTTTATCTTGTTCTTCACTTTGATCTGTAGTTTCTTCAGTAACTGTATCTTCAGTTGGTTGTACTTGGTCTGAAGTTATTTCTTCGTTATTCTCTTTTTCTACTTTAATTATTGGTTCAGTATCTTGAGATTTGTTTGTCTGAGTATCTGAGACCTCCGTAAAATTAGTAATGGACACAGTACTGACTTCTGCTACATTTTGTTCAGTAGTGGGTCTTAAAATACGAATTTTAATTACGTCCTCGTCTGCGTCTTCATTATGTTCCGTCGTGGCAAGACTAGGATGCAAGATTCTGTATTTCTGAGAATTTGTATTTTCTTCAACGTCTGCTTCTTCTTCTTCTTCTTCTTCTATTACGTCATCATCGTCGTCATGGAAAGTTGTTGGTCTGTATATTCTATACTTAGGTCGAGTTTGAATAGGAACGTCTTCTTCATCATCCTCTTCTTCTTCAACGTCATGCTCGCTATATTGTTCTGTTGTCGAAGTAGTACCTCGACTTAAGATATTGTATTTGGATCTGTCAATGGTGCGATAAGATGTGGTGTCTGTATCAGGCGATTTGGTGGTTGTTCTGCTAAAGGTTTTGTACTTAGTTCTGTCAAAACTTGAAACCTTTTCCTCTTTGTCACTTTCATCACTTTCTTCCTGTCTATCGTCTTCCAAACGTGGTGTAGTAGTTCGTGCTATAGTCGCGTATTTCGATTTAAACGGTTTAAATTTAATTTCACTGTCAGTCTTCAAATTACTTTCCAAATGTTTGCTTTCTGTTTTAACTATTGGCGACTCAGCATCTACCGTTTCTAAAGGTGTGTGTGTACTTACGTGCGGTATGAAAGGTCTTCCTCGAATAAATAGTGGTTTATCTGTTGCTGTTGCTGATTCTGTAATGGATACAGGTGACTCGGTAGTCGGTCGTAATCGTCGAATAATTTTTCTTTTACGACCTGCTGTACTAGCTTCAATTGATTCTGTAGTAGTACTGGTACTTAAAATTGTCGATTCTGTTGGTGTCAGTTTTCTTATAATTTTTCTTGTTCTGATTACAATGTTAGGTTCGGTCGTTGGTTTTTCATCATCCACTTTATTTCTGATTCTTTTTAAGATCTTCTTTCTTACTTTTTTACCATCTTCCGAATTAAGAACGTTGTGATTGTTAACATTACTGTTTTCTCTTATGTTGGATTCCGATAATCTAATGTTCTCCCCTTCTTCAGCGCTAACATCATCAGAAGTTTCGTTTTGTTCATCGTCTTCTTTCGGTAATTGTGTTGTTGTTTTCTGTGCGCTTTCTGTAGTTGAGAGTTTAGTTGTTTCTTCAGGTGTAGTTGTAGTTGTAGTTGTTGTCGTGGTTGTAGTTGTAGTGGTGCTAGGTCGAGTAAAGCGTCTGTTAAATAGCGAGTTGGAGGATGCATTTTCTATAAGATTTTCTGTTTCAGTTGCGGGTGTAGTAGAACTCGGGCGCACTAAACGTTTTTTAAAGCTAATTTGATTACGAGTGTCATCGTCTTTCTGTGACTGTAGTTTAGAACCAACTGTAGGTCTTAACCTTCTAATTATTTTTCTGTTTCGTAATGTTGCTCTTGTGGTTTCTTCAGTAGTAGATGTTATTGACAAATTAGGTGGAGTTCTAGTGAATGGACGAATTCTGTGCGTGGTGTCTGAGCTTGAATTAATTTGATCTTCTATTGCATGCTCATTCTTAGTAGCAATAACTCGTCTACTTTTTCCGAAAGTGGTACCGTCTAGTAATTTTCTGGCTAAAGGTAATGTCCTTGAACCAGTTTTTAGACTCTCTTCTGGTTTCTCAGTGGTAGTTGTCGTTGTTGTAGCAGTCGATGGTCGTATTCTTCTCGACCTTGATGGATTCGAAAATCTGTTCAGATCTTTCAATGTCCCAAAGTCAACAGCAGTTAAAGAAGACAAATCGGCGATTTCAGAAGGCCTGAAAGTTCTATTCAAATCGTATTCGTCAACGCTGTCCAAAAACTGTTCAGTAGTTGTAGAAAATCTTTTTCTGGCACGAACAGAAGGTTTAATTGTGACTCTTGTAGTTTGTTGCTCTAACAGACTTGCGGTAGTTTGTTTATATCTAGAAGGTGCTCTAGTTCTAAAGGGTGTCGGTTTTTCCGTTGTGAGAGTGGTTGTGCTAATTATATCGGTTTGCGTTTTCGGAAGTTTCTGTTTTAGACGTAGTTTATAATTTGGATCACTCACCTTTGTAACTCGTGTAGATGATTCAGTTACCGGTTTTAGACTTGATGTTGGACCACTAGTACTTAAAGAGAACGGACGTGGTTCTAAAAGTTGAGGAGTTTGCGTCTGATAAACTCCTTCACCGATACTGTCAGTAGAATCGGGTATATTAGAATCGAGTTTTGAGAGATTTGGTGTTCGATTCGTCGAACTAAGGCTAGCAGTAGTTTTTATAGTTAAGCTCTCGGGAGATGTTATTAGTATTTGTTCAAGAATAATTGGATTTTCTGTTCCAGATATAGTTGTGGCATCTTCAGCTGAATTTCCTGTTGTGGAACTGGTCCGTGACAACGAACTAAAATATTGTAATATGAAAACTAGATCATACAACGCTGTATAATAGTTACTTTGTAGTTGAACCGTTGCTGGGTGTTTCTTCAGGTTGCAGAGGTGTCTCGGTAGTAGATCCACGTTTGATAATTTTGTATCTACAATTTAAATTTTGTTAGAACGGTGGAAATTTCGTAATGTGCACAAATACTAACTTCTCTTCGGATCCGGGGGATGCTATTGTGGTAATTCTAGTTTTAGTTTTTTCGGAAACATCTTGGACGCTAGGAGAAGTAGTTCCCCTTTTTCTGGATCTACAAAACTTGTTATCTGAAAGAAGCTAGTATTTTTTGGAAAACTTACGATATAGTCGTTGTATTTTCCTCCGTTGAAGGTTCCGTTGTTGTCGATCCTCGTCTGAGAATTTTGTACCTGTAAATGTTAACGTGTAAAAATAAAATAATTAATTGACAATAAACGTACTTAGATTTTGAGTCAGTTTTTTCGGTGGACGAAGACACAACTTCACTAGCAGTTGTTGTACCTCTTCTTTTTCCGTCAGATACTTCCTCTTGAGTGCTAGGAGTGGTTGTTCCTCTCTTTTTGCCATTTAAAGAGTCATCTGCTGTATCGCTCTCAGTTGTAGATGTTCCTCTTCTAATTATTGTGTATCTAAAAAATACATTAAAATGCTGTTTGTATAAAATTGTCAGATTTACTTTGAAGTGGAGGTTTCTTCAGTAGTCGATGGCCTCTGTCTGCGAATGTTAACATACTGAGGTGTAGAGCTTTTCCTCTTAACGGGTTCTTCTTGGTCTTCGTCATCTTCGGCGTTTTCATCGTCGTCTTCTCCCAAAATTTTATTTCTGTTAATTTGTCCCCTACAAACAGTTTCAGTTTAGAAGAACGTATTTTTGTTTACTTTTTTTTGTAATTACTTTGAATCTTCCCCAGACGATTCGGTTGTGGTACTAACTCTTCCACGCCTGATGTTAACGTATTCTGGTTGTTTTTTTGTATATTTTCTTGAAGTTTTAACTTCCTTCTCTTCTTCTTCTTCTTCTTCTTCCTCTTCTTCCTCATCAGCCTTATCGTTGTCACTCTTTTGTGTCCTGTAGATGATTAATTTTAAGATTTGACAATTTTCTAATTGTTAGACACTACCTTTGTCTATTAATCGTTGTATATTGTAGTTTACCCCGATCTTGCTTTTTCTTTTCTTCACTCTTTTGAATCCCTTCGTTTTGTGGCCCTCTGCTGTTGCGGTTCAAGAAACTGTATCTGTCAATTAAGTTCATAATTTTTGCTAATTTTTATGAATGCATGACTTACGAATTTTTTCTTTCTCCGTTTTTATTTTTCGCTTTCCCCAACACTCTTTCAACTAGAGATTTACTAATAGAAGATGGCGTTGTAGCATCCGGATGTGAAACTGACGCACTTCCATCTTCGTGTATTTTTAGTTGCTTTTCTAGTTCTTCAATACCTCCAGCTTTTTTTATAAGATCTAGCAGTTCTTTGATAACTCTCGGATCTTCTTCTGAGTTTTTGTTATCTTCTTCTTCTTCCTCTTCATCTTCATATTCGTATTCATCCTAAGAAAATTTACGGTAAAAACTGATACAACAAAAAATATAATTATTTACCTCATAAGGTTCCGTTGTGGTTGACGTTCGGAAAAGTGTAGTTCGACTTATGGCTGCGGTTATTCTGGGTGGTACTCGTACAGTTGTGGTTGCAGTTGTTTTAGAAGTACTGGCCTCTGTTGTAGTTGTTGTTGTCGATGTTTTTGACAATTTTTTATTACACAGAACATTTCTTGTGTAGTCACACGAATCGGCAGCTTTATTGAAATATAAACCTGCGGGGCAAGTAAACTGATGAGCTATAATTCCTAGCTCTCCAGGGCCACTCAAACACCAGTAATACTTTTTGCAGTCCTTGGGGTGTGGGTAGAAACCTTCATCCTCGCATTTGAATTCTAAAAAAAAATTTTGCTTTGATCGTTTCGATTTACATATATTATAAACATGTGCGTACAAATGAGGAAATAATGAAAATAATAATTATCATTACTAACCTCCGCCCATATCGGGAGTTGGGGGTGGGGCAGGCGTTGTATAACTGGGCGTAACCAATTCCAAACTACTATAAACGGGACCTTCTGTGGTGCTCCTTGATTCCTTCCTACGTATTTTTGGTCGGCTATTGGAACTGCTACTGTCCGATTTACTCTTGACTCTATTTCTTCGTCGAGAACCTCCACTATTCGAAACTTTCTTTTCAGTATCTTCACTTTTGGCACTTGATGATTTAGATGAAGATTGAGTTCTCGTTCTTGTCTTTGATTTTACCGGTTTGGCGGGCGGTGAAACCAAATTCTCATCAGTTAGACTGCAATAAATCTATTAGAATCCCCTCTCGAAATGGAAAGTTTCAATTTACCCATAAGCTGAGATGAGTGCTTCTTTGGCCGCCTCGATAATAGGGTACGGTTTCCCGTGGCAATTACCTCGAAAATCATCATTGTCAATGGACCAGAACATAATACCTCCGAGATTATTTTCTGCAACATAGGCAGCTTTTTTTCGTGCAATATCATCATCATCGTAGCCAACCCACTGATTATCTTTAAAAGCGTAAGGACCCATTGCGTCAGGGTTAGGTTGTACTACCTCCCAGTCTTGAGATTTGATGTATTCGCAGATCTAGAACATGCGTGGTTAATAATTTGGTCGTTTGTTAAAAATTTAGGGCAACCTCATAATAAGCTAAGTAGCCATTTTCCCTTGTCGCATCTCCCATATCTCCTGGCCCGTCGGCTGGGGCTCCAATTTCATTAGCATCAGGGTTAAAAAGCGTGTAGGATCGACCGTAAGTTGGAATTCCAAGGACGAGTTTGTTAGGATCGGCACCTTCTTTTAGATAGTGTTTGATTGTATAATCCTGCAATGTTAAGCGTTGAAGGCGGCACATGAGAGGATTATAGAGAAAGGCGCTGCTATTTTATATCTATTGTCGATACGGGAATTTTTACAGAAAATTTGTGCCACGAAGACAGTGTCTGTGGCAAAAATCCTTTCTAAAGACATAATTCTATTTTCAATTATAAACTATGTAATGCTATTACGCAATAAATAGTTCTACTGTGACTCCACCTCAAATTTAAAACAGTAGAATACATATTAATGTAATTAGGAATTTGTCCAACAAAAAACAAAAACATTTTGATGACAGCTGCTGTAAGTTGGAATAGCGAAACGTTTAGGTTTCGGTCAAATGATGAAAGTAATGACGAAAATATTGCATGGTTGTGAACAACATAAGTTTCAGCACATTTTGAAAATTCATTAAACGTAATTTTTAAAGCTTATCTAAATTTAAATCAGAACCACATTTATACTGAAAAAATATGCGCACAACAAGAACACTTTCCAAAGGAAAAAACGACAATTACGTCAGAAATACATTCTTGTATGCAATTATCATGGTAATCGTTATTCAAGTGTGATCTTTAAAAACTGAATTTGAGTCCTGGCCACGAGGAACTCTAGGAAAACAGTCTGTTTCTTGACAGAGTACAAAATATATAAAGTATGTTCATCGTATTTTTTTTTTTAGTTTTATAATATCATTGGAAGAAGTATTTTTATAAAGTTCAGTACACAATTATATTCATATTTGCTGTTGGAGACGTTGTATACCTATCTTAAAATCTCAAAATCATGGGACACAAAAAGTACTATAAATCGTTTTCAAAATATGTCCTTATTTACAAGTTCATGTTTTTAGAAACTACATTCTGAAAAGACTGGTATTAAATGTTATGATTCCAAATTTTAAAAAATAAAGTATTGTTCCACTAATAGTTAATTAATGTTTGCAGATCTTAAACAGTAAAGGTCAGTTTAATTGTACTTTAATATTTAACTAGCATCTGAAAAACCAGTTTTTAATCGTTTCAAAATTAATCAATGTTTTTTTTTTGTTTAATGTTGTCTGCATTTTTAATTTCATAAAGGAACTTGACAATGAATTACGGAAAGATGATTAGTTCTTCACTTTATTTTATTTTACTTATAACATCACCTACCGGCATCTGTATGAAATTTTGTTATTTATTAGCTATTACATTCTCAGATACTTCCACAATAGTTATTTTTTGTATACGCTCCCAAAAAGTTACCATGGCAAATATTTGCTTTGGTCAACCTGTTACTACGGTGAGGGTGGCACCCTACTATGTATTTTCTTGAAATATTTGCTTTGGTCACATCAGTCGTATTAAGAGATTTGTTGAGGAGTTTTGGGAGCTTTAACAAAAAAACATTGTTTGTGACACGTACCTAAAACGTTTTATGGGACTCATTTACAAACAGTCCGGAATAGCAAATGAGTTCCAAAAAACGTTCTAGGTACGTGTCACAAACAAAATTTTTTTGTTAAAGCTCCTAAAAACACCTCAACAAATCCCTTTATACGACTAATGTGACCAAAGCAAATATTTCTCGAAAATACATGGTGGGCTAAATATGACTAAATCATCCGAAATGATCATCAATACTTGACAGGTAACTTTTTGGAATTGAGTCCGAAAAAGACTTATTTTACGAACACTTTTGAGTCCGTAAAATAGCTGTTTTTGGGAGCGTGTACAAAAAAACGTATTTTCAAAAGTAAAGAATTTTTTTCTATCGTGAGTTTTCAAGTAGTCTGCTTAGCGTCAAAAATCTTATTCTTCGAAATAACTTTTGAAAAAAAAATGTATCTCTTTAATTTTGAGTCAAAATTTGTAAGATCGTATTTTGCTAATTGAGACAATGAATGTATTATTTGAGAAACTGTTCAAGTTTAGAAGTAAAACTCTTATCTGTTACTTTTTCTTTAAAATAATTCCAAAATATAATCTACAACTTTGCCGCTGGATTTAAAAAAAAATAAATTGGAATATGATATTACAGTAAAAATCACATTCCTACTTACTAAAGTCAGTAATATTTGATTATATTGCTCTTAAAAACAAAAAATATTAAGTAATTCCAAAAAAACGTTTTTGTGAAACCAGCGGTAAGTGGTTTTGAGATTAACTTTTTTGTTATTGTGGAGGAAAAGTCCTGCAGATTTGATAAAAACCAAAGTGCTACTTTGTTCCTCTACTAAGAAAAAAATTGGCACCATCATGTTTCATAACAATATTCAATAAAAGTGGAGTTCAAATAATTTCGGCTTTTTTATTTAAAAAAATGTTGGTCAAAAACACAAGGCCAAGGACGCAAAAGTACATTTTCGACATCTGAGTACAAAAAAGTGACAATTCAATTAAAAAAAGTGACAAGTGGGTTCAAAAAAGGAATTTTGACATTTCAGCACAAAAATGTGACACTGCATCGATATAACTGGAGATGGAAAACTACCAGATTTGTAATGGTCGACTAAAAAAATCATTTTTGGTGAAACCTAATAAGTAATGGATTGAAAAAAAACTCCTCTATTAGGTCATTCAATATATTTTTCAAATAATATTGTTGGTAATACCAAGGCGTTCTTTGTTCACTTTGACAGTTACGGTCAAATAACCACCAAATAAGTAGTATCATTATTTTAAAAATAAATTGCACGGCCTACTAGAGAAGATTTTTTTTGAACATATGGTATTTGGTTTTGGGGCTCACCTGCCATTCTAACATAATTCTTGATTTTTTTCAAAGAAACTTTTGGAAATATTTACAATTTAAAGTTTGTATTTTCTTAATAAACCAAAAATTCTGTCGAGTTTTAAAGGGTTAATTAAAAGTCTAGGGACAGTCAGTTATCTTGGTTACTTTCAAGGCGATTTTTAAAAATTGACTTCAGTTTGTGGTACAAAATAAACAATTTTGAACTTAGGATTTAACTGGAAATGACGTTATCTCAACATTTTTAAATAAAACACCTGTAGAGTTTTAAATTGTCAAAAAATAAGGGTTTATATAAACATTTATAAAAATTAACACAAAATCAAGGCAACTTTGAAAGCAGAGATAATAGTTATTAATTTAGGTTCTAATAAATGTTCAAAATGTCATCCAGTAATATGTACAATCCTGTATTCAAAACTGTGTCCATTATCATGTTCTATTTTTTTTATTAAATTTTCGTTGCAAATTTTTATAATCAATTTTTTTCTGTATTCAGTATTCAGTAATGGAAAAATGTACAGTGTGTTATATTTAAAAACATTAACTTAGGGTCATTTCCGTTTAAATCAAAGTAAAGTCCTACATAACGTTTCAGTAGTTTGAAACCATATGATTTTCAATAATAATAATCATTAACTGATGATTATGCTTAACTAACTGTTGTAACATTTACAGCTTTAGACAATTTAAAAATTATCTGTATTTGAAATATTCATGAAATTCTTCCTGGAAATGTTTTTAATAATAGATACTCTATTCTTATACCAGAGTGTATTCATATAGATTAATAAAAAATCCAGAATCCAGAATTTTTTCAGACTTTGTTATAAATTTTAATTTTTAAAGCCTTTTTGCAACAGTAGGGAAAAACCTGTAGTTGACTCACAATGAACAAACTATGTTTTATGGTTAATCACTATCGACGGGTAATGAGAAAGACAGTTAAAAATTCAATGCCAATTAAGGAACAATTTTTGTTGATAAGATGTTATTTGTGAAAATTTGAGAAATATTTTTGTAGTGCCATTCTCCATTGAGGAAAATACAAGTTTTAGATTTTTTTTTAATATTTAAGGGGAAATTTCATACTCATTCTGGAAACTGTAAGTGCAATTTTTTCAAAAATATGCAGGTAACAGAAAACTAAGTATTGTGCTCAATTTCATTTGGTACTTATTTGTTACCCTAGCACAAAAAAAATTGGTGAACAAAAATATCCTACAAAATAAATTTTCTGTGTAAATTTTTAAACAATCGTTACACATAAAGTTTCATGTTTTTTAATAAACGAGTATACTTCAATATACTATAAAGTAATCAAGTTTAATTTGTTTTTTAGTAGTAGTACTTGAATATACTTTTTTAATTTTATTTTATTTTTATAAATGTAACAATTGAGTAGAATTAGGTACTACAGCAGTGTTGTAGCTCTCGAATCTACAAACAACAGCGACGCGACAGAAGAAATGAATATTTTAGAGCCAATTCATCCAGAGCAATCTTAAAATTCTTATAATTCAGACCCTGTTGAAAATGATTTAAAAGGTCTTTCCTTGGAAACTGTTTTTATATTACCGCAGAAATGAGAGTAGAACTTAAGGCTAAACTTATTTTAATGTACTTACAATGTTAAGTTCAGTGTCGTAATTATACTCTGAAGGTTCTTCCAAAGAATACAGTGGAGCATGGTGGTTAACCGCTGGCTCGAAGGCAGAATGGTAATCGTAGCTCAAAATATTCATCCAGTCGAGATATCTGTATAACGTTCGCAACTTAAAAACTGCACACTTCTCTACATTGAGGAAATAATTAGACTTACTTAGTAAGTTTCGGCACATCATATCCTTTGTTGATGTACTCGATTCCGGCAGGAACTGCCATTGTTAGAAGTAACCTCGTCCTTCCCGTTTTTTCGGATTCTCTGTCAAATTCTTCGCGCAGTTCCTAGAATGGTATTTCAACATCAACACGTTGTTACTTAACACGTGAGCTATCGAGAATAGTAATAAAATGGACATGCTTAATAACTATGCTCACAAAGTGCGATGCGATATGGTTTCCGCTTGGTAGGCATAAAATCGGAGGAAATTGATGATTTACAGCTTTTTTAGAGATCGATCGTGAGAACAAACCTGCACAAGTTGGGCGTAGTTGTCCCTGTCTCTTGACTTTCCTCCATCTCGAAAGCTAGGATATTCCCAATCTAGATCTAGTCCGTCGAAGTGGTTTTGTCTCAAGAACTTGATGGCGTTCTTGATCAACTCTTTCCTTCTTTCGGAATTCGCCACCATGGGCGAAAACCGCGAAGAGCCCTCGTTCCATCCACCGATGGCCAGCATAGTCTTTAAATTTTTGTTGTATGTCTTCAGTCCAGTGAATTTTGCGTAACCACCTGCGAAATGGGAAAGTCGGATTTACTTTTGCAATGTTGTTTAATATTACGTTTTCAGATACTTGTATGTTGTGCAGGTCAGATTTACTTGCAAATAGTTTAAAGCTATACGGTTATATAAGTTGTAGACTACTTTCGATCTACTCTGTTTCATTTTGTGGAATTACAGGTTATCGAATTGATAATAAAGATGTTTCACACGAATATTTTTAACAACAAAATGAGTGTTACGCAATTTATAAACAAGTAATTATAAAGTACGTATTTTGAAATTAATTAAGTATGCATTTTACGGTTTCCGCGTTTCGCAGTTACTACTTCATACATTACTACAAAAACTGCTTGAGGGAGATGTTCAATCTTTGTTTACCGCAATAACGTTTATATAACAATTGCATTGTTCCTCGTGCTATATTGTTCTTTATTTTGTTAGCTCTATTGATAGCAGCCTTAAGTACTGATGTAAGACTGCTCTATTTTTAATAAAACTGAAAGTTTTATTAAGACTTTGACATAAACAAATTTTGCATAACAGATTTTCGTAACCTTGTTGACGTACACCTAATCGATTGCTTTTTTTCTGTAAATATGTAAATTTTATTCCGTTTTATTTTATGAGACTACGATTTATTTATAGCTGAATTGGGTATTAACTAATAGTGCGACTAGTTGAAGTATGTTATGTCGAACGAAAATTTCATATGCTAGTATATTATTACTGTTTATGAATGTGGGATAATTGCTAATATAAATCGTTTTTTAATTATAGAAAATATCGCATTTCAAAGGAACGATTTTATTCTCGGAAACTAACGAGAAAATAATGTCACCTAATTAGAAAAGATTAAATTTTCACTTAGTCGAGGAAAACAATTGGATTTCCTTTCAGAGAAAACAGATCCATAAAAGTGGACGTTGGTTTATGAAATTACTATTGTATTGTAAGTTAGAGAAAGGTTTCAATAGTTTTAAGATATTTTGTTTATAATGAGAATTTAAATTACAACTTTCTACCTTTTATCACTAGGTTATTGGTATTATTTTCATTGGAGTAACCTGTACTTTCAAGGTATTTTATCTTGTTTTACTGTCACGGTCACAATTTCATTTAACAAATTAGTCGCTATCCATGAAATGGTTTTAAATGACATGAAAATGTCTTCATTATCATTTTCTATTTTGCGAATTTTACTCTGGAAAATTTATAGACCAAAACACTTTACCACGAAAAAGTTTGGACAAGCAGAATAAGTTTTCATAATTTTAATCGTTTAAAAGTTTCTTGAAATAAAGCACTCGAATATTGTTAGCGATTTTTAGGGTAAGTAGATTGTGAATTAATATATCTTCTTATTTTTTAAATGTTACATTTTACTAAATTTAGCGTGTCATTAAGACAGAATGACATATTTTGGCAATTTTATTACAGAAACATTTCCAGGGCTAATAACTGTATGTACGCAACGGAAAAGCAAACATTTAAGATCAGTCATAAAAACCTAACTTTCTGGAATTTCAAATTAGAGGCATCATATCAGATAAGAGGGTAAAAAATTGATAACAAAAAACTGGTCTAACCGTACCCACTATACTTGCAAGCAGATAATGCAAAAACTAAAACTTTTATTTCGGCCGTTGTAGCCGCAAGATACGAGATACTATTATGCCATAAAAACAGTAATTAAATAAGTTTTGTGTTTAATTAAGAATTAAAGTAGACTCGTTCCATAAGGAATCAAATTTAGTCTCCTACATGACAAGAGAAGAAAATGACCACAATTCGAATGATAACTCGTTTTCAGAGTGCTTATATAAGTCGGCATTACAGTTGTCCTAAATTTTGTATTTTAAATACCATATGACTGCAGGGAATTATATCAATTTCAGTAAAACCGAATATTTTCTTTCCTAGTTCTTTTACAGCAAGCTTTTAATGGGAAAAAATTCTACAGATAGCTCTGAAATATTTGACTAAAATTTATGGATTCTACAGATCTCTAAATTAATCCTACGCTTAGCATTTTTCAGCATACTTTATTTATTACAGAAAATTTCTCTTCTTTCGGATAATACATAAAACGCTAACCAAAATTTGTATAATCATCTTCACCGTATAAATTTTATAAAATAACATAAGCCTATAATAATTGAAGTTTATGAATTTACCTTGATTTTGTTTACTATGTATTTTTTTTTTATATAAGATTTCGTATATTAAAGATGATCTCTAAATACCAATTATTGTACGAAATATGGTGCAGTGGCAAACGAATCTGCAGGGTCTAGGATTGCATCCAATTTTATTCCCTTACACTGTAACTGGTTACTTGTATTGTAGGGTCATTTTACTGTAACCTCACTTGACATGCACCTTGTAAAACTTTGATGACTTAAGCAGCTTAAACCAAAGCACCCTTATAAGTCAAACTGGATATTGTATAACTTAACTCAGTTCACAGCTCCATTATGGCAACAATGGACAGTTTGACTTATAAAGGTGCATTGGCGTAAGCTACTTAAGTCATAAAAGTTTTACAAGGTGTATGTCAACTGAGGCTACTTTAACTGCGTACTAGTAAAATTTTATGACATAATTAGGTTTATTTGGTTGACAATGCCGAATCGGTTTTTCGCATTAGGGTCCTTGTAAACTTGTAAGCCAAGTCGCGTGCCTACAGAATTTTCTGCAGCGGTCTTACCTGTATAATTTATGGTTTTAGAGTACTGTGGGTTGGGTTCCTTGACTAAAGTTGTAAAATATTATTAGTATGTATTTAAAGTGATTTTAGTATATATTTGCAGTTTATACATTTCTCTTTTACATTTTAAGGGTTATTTTAATTTTGTATCTATATTTCTCATGAAATATTTTTTCAAAAAAGTAGGTAAATTATTATCAAACAAGCAGAAACAAGCGTAAATTATGCCCGTCAGCTGTCTCCGCTTTTTGTGGTTTCTTAGAATAATGCATTTGTATCACTGCAAAATCGAATCCTCGAAAGTAAAAAACTATTAATAATCCACTGTATTCTTTGATATTTTGAGTGTATGTTTTTTGAGCGATTTTATTTAGAACTACTTACTTATACACAATAACTCAAAAAAAAATGAATTAGGAAATACGTTTTGTTGATTAAATAAAGAATGGCTCACCCGATTTCCAGAAAATTTGAGAATATAGTACTGCGACTATTAGTACTACACTCTATCTATCCAAATTAATAAAACAACAAAATTTTGTAATGGAAAAGTTTACTTTAACTTATAGAGATTATCATAAAAAAATAAAATTCGCAAAATCAAGGTTTATAAATTTTCGAGAAAGTCGGATACATTGTACCGTATTTCAGGGGTGAGGAAAAATCTGTAGAAATAATCTTCGGCCAATTTTTATATATTTGTGCTTCAGATGGCAATATTTATAATTTGAATAGAGGTGTGCTAGAAATGAATTGATATATAAGTTTCCCAAAGACATAAGTAGATAGTTTATACCGATGACAGACAGACAGACACCTATTTTTCCATGCTCTATAAAGGTTACGAAATGTTGAAAAAACTTGAAAGTAGCAAGTAACCCTTCACTTACGTTCGGGAAGTAAAAAACTTCCCTGAATCGTGTACGTATGTATCGTGTGAACAAAAAGATATATTCTGAGTGATTTTTTTTGGTCTATGAAAATTAAGTTCAATAAACAGAAAAGTGTATTAATTGACGTAGTAAAATGAAGTATTTGTTTATGCAAATTTTGTCGAGTCATAATTGTAAAAGATAAGTACCTACTTAAGCTGTATTTGTCTAAAAATTAAAATTTGGGTAACTCTAATCGATTGAGTGTGCGCTAAGATGGAGTTAAAAAAATTAGTCTAACGTTATTTACACAAAAATTCTTTCACACCTGAAGTCAAATATTCGAACAAAGTCAATGTGTTAAAAAAAATGTCGACGAGGATGAGATTCAAATTTAAACGTGCAGAACTCCAGTTCCTCAAATTCGACACGTCCCACCTGCACCTTACGTGGGCGAGACATCAGCTACAAAAAACACGTGGCAAATGTTGTATAAAACAATTTTGGAAAGTAATTGCGATTAAAAATCAAGGGGGACTCATAAACCACAAATGTAGGAGTACATATATTATTTCAAAAATTTAAGTAATGTTTAATGTACAAAAATTTGAGGTGATATCACCAAGATCAAGTTTTGGAGATTATCTGTCTAATAAAAATCGACACACACGACAGGTAGGCAGACAAACAAATGCCAGCTGACAAGCAGACAAAAACGAGAAACTTATCTTTTTGTACTCTAATCACGGTCATGAAACGTCGAGAAAAAATGAAAGTAGTGATTCGCCGGGCGGATCCTATTACAATACTTCCTTAGCTTACGCTCGAGAAATAAAAAATTGGTTTAAAGTGGTTTTTAATAGGAACAAGTATATCAATTTGAACAGAGTGTAACACTAATAACAACAGCGTTCCCAGAATTTCTGGAAAATGTGATAAGCGGTTTATCATAAAATGTATTGCTTCATTTATTTTGTTTTTAAACATTCTGTAGAAACTATTTTAGAAAAAAAAATGTATGAAAAAGCTGTATATAGAAAAGCATTTGAAATGAGACTGATTTTGCTAAATTTTGAGATGACGTCATATTTTTGGTATTTTATAAAGAAGTTTGACTTAGCGTTGTACCATATGTGTACCATATGTATGATATTCTTAAAATATGTGTCTAAGATTACTTGTCTAATCGCCAACAGACGACAGGCAGACAGACGGAAACGGGATTCCTACTTTTCAATATTGTATAGGCTTTAAAACGTCAAGTAAATATGAAATTAGTAATCATTCGTACTGAAGTGACAAAGCACTTTTTCTAGGAACTTACATGCGATTGTCTGATTGTAATGGGTAGCAATAGAGAATTTGTTGTATTACAACAAAAATATTAAACAGAATCTGGTTTATTATATATTTTACAAATCCAGTTTAGTAAGTATTGCGGGAACTGGTATATTTAGCCCATAACCCAAGTTTTCAAGAAAAGTTTTATACAAAAATCACGACAGTTTGTCATTAGTATGCTATTTACATAGTTGAACAGATCATACACTATGCATGGTTTTATTGTTTTGAAGTTTGGCTTTCACTCGAAAAGATTTTTTTTATTTTGTTGTCAGTAGAATAATGCATATAAATTCAAAGATAAACATTAGGCGAGTAAGAAACATCGTAGCAGATGGAACACAATCAAAGTCTATAGAAATTATTCTGTCGAATAAAATCAAATGCATATTGCTGCAAAATATCAAATTAATCAAGTAGTGTATGAATGAGAAAATGTAGATAATTTAATTATTCCAAATGTTGTTGCAATATGATGCAGATTTGACATTTAAACATACAGTCACGGCCAGAGGATCTTGGACTCAATGTCATTCTACTGTCACATAGTATGAAGCACCTTTAAGTATTGTAATTTAATTTTTTTAGTTTTAGTATTTTTGACACTGCGGATATGGTGATATTGGATGCGAGGTGACAAATCTTTTAACGGCAAATTGAGAGTAAAACATAAACTATATAAAAATTTTCCAAATGACGTCCAAGATTTTCTGGCCCCTACTGTACGTTCTGTTATCGTATTGTAGTGGACGCATTTCATGTTGACATTTTTTTAAATTATGTGATTTCCCAAAGAGGCACTTAATATCGTTCCCGTGAATTCGTGAATTTTGTTTTTTTTTAAAACTAAAATTGTAAGTTGGCCACATAAAACACTACTTTTCCAAGAATCGTATAATAACAATAACATATAAATTTAAATGTAACATACAGAATGTCCCGTAAAAAGTAAGAAACTGCTCGTGTGTTGAGCCATCGAAGCGAATTACAGTTTCGTGAAATATCAAATTTCGTTTGGTCTTTTTTAAAAAAATGTACTCTATATGATTTTGGGCACACTGTGAAAGCTTATAATTGTAGCTTTCAAATTTCGATATAATATTTCATTAGCATGAACCTTACTTTTGAAGAGAAATGTATAAAACTATTCTACGCAGTGAAACATCAGAACACGAGTGAAATCTTGAAAATTCATATTTTAGAAACCACCATAAAGCGATTGTTTTATTCCATAAAATTTCAAAAAATAAATAACTTTAAATAGGTATGTCACAATTCAATTTTTTATGGCAGTGAATTTAGCTGTTGAAGCGAATCGGTATTTAAAACCATAACCACAATCGAAAGAATCTTTCTCTTGTGGCAAGAGCCTAATACTAATTAAACGTAGCAGCAACCCAAATTCGACTAACAATATCGTGGAATTTTTTATACCGAGCGTGTCATTAAATAAGCGTGACAAAGTTGATCAATTAATTATATCAGGAATTCCGGAATTTCAAAAATCATAAAACTCCGCTAAACAAGAGCGGCATTTTTTGCCAAAAAGGAGCGGTACGTCGCGCCGTAACCAATTGCATCACATAATCGGCCACTATGTTTGACTTTAGAGTCAACTAACTTTAATCTTTTAGTAGAAATGGTAACCTAAATTCTTTGAATACCAGAGTGACAAGTCTGCGCACCAATTAAAGCAATATTCAATTAGTTCAATAAACGCAATTGCGTAAAACCTCTTTAATCTTACCTTTTTCGACGTCTTGATATTTATCAAAAGGTTTTAACGTGTTTTCTTTGGTGAAACCCCCAAACGCGTAGATGAGATGAGTACATAAATAGGGGTTGATATTCTGAGGACTAAATTTTGCCGTTCCGGGCCTGTACACTGACCAGTTCGTGTAGTAGCAGACCACGCGGATCTCCTTGGAATCTGAAACAGACAGATCATAAATATGTCTTCAAACCCGCTTTTTGCATTGTTTGCCAAATTTAACTTTACGGAATTTCAAGGTGAATTCTTTGAAAATTCGCTGGCCAATCAAATAAAATTTATTAAGTGATTACAAATATATTAGTGATTTATTAGCGGTGATAAACAGGACATGGGCGCATAATTTCAAATTAGAGTGATTTATGCAAGAGTTGCAGTCCACACGTGGAATATTTTTGGGTGTGTTCAAACGGCAAACAATGCAACCTTGAGTATACCCCGAGTTTAATTTACATAAATATTATCTTTCTTTATACTGACAATGTTTATAATTAATTAAACATAAACAACTGTTGTAGATATTAATGAACTCTTTCGTACCACTCGTGGTAAAATTTGTATGGACGGAATAAAATTACAATAAAATGACCTTTATCACCCCCTTGTGTCAAAATATTCGTGCTCTCAAAGAATCGATTGTCGTTAAGTTATTTGTCGGCATGATTCGTGAAAAAAATATGTGCTTTATGTCCTTGATTCAGCAAACTTTTCCCTGTGAACTGAGCCCATTTTTAATAGTTTGTAAAATTGCAGGAACTGATCTGATTTGATCTTTATTAAAAATATTTATCATAAATTATAATAAGTTTATACTTACTTGAATATTTCGTCCATGTTATTAAAAATAATAAAAGGAAAAGCCATCGACAGATGTCCGTCTGTAACAAAGAATACATTATTAACAAACATTTCTCATTGTTGGTAGTTGGTACAGAGTGCCAAATAAAGTGTAAATATTTGTCAAGAAAAACTTCGTGGTTAATGTATTGAGAATGAAAGCATTATAATTTCATGAAAATGTTGGGATTGCTTTTCACCGTAATTAATTAAAAGTTGTGAAGGCAGACAATCACTATTATTTTTAACAATGGTTTCACTTTGACAGCAACCATAAATAATGTTCATTTCGACTTTTCTTGCACAACCAATTCGTCTATTGCAATTGAATAATATTAATTGTGGGAAAATTCTTATCAGGTTAATTTTCATCCTGTTGAATAATAAAGAAATGTTCCACTTTTCAAAAATCAATATTTCCAAACTATTAACTATGTATTTGCTTTTCTCTAACTGTATTAACTCTAAGTTTTGTAGTTCGTTGCTATACTGATCTGGCGATAATCTTAATGTTTCACTGACATGTGTGTTAATTCATTAATAATTACCACTATTGTAATAGTCTTTTTATGTTTTTGATAGTTCCGCAGTAGCACATAAATACTTTCTCTGTTTCATGTTCAGCAACGTACACTGTATTAACTTTACTTTTTGCATAATGTTGGGAAAACGCTTTTATCTGATTTTTTGATTATAATAGCTACTACCTTGCAAGGTCTGCATCTTAAGTGCCTGTATTATGTAGCAATTGCAATCACATCCTTCATTTGGGACAATTTACAACTACAATAAAAGAGTATGAAATCTATTGTTCTTGTTGCTGCAGTGGCAATTATAAAAACAGTGTTTAAGGTCTCCCTTTCAGATTTTTTAAAATGATGTTAGTACCTTTTGTAACATTTTTGTTACAAAAAAAAAAAAACTAGCAGAAAATTGCTTACTTATATTTAAAAACTTACTAGCGACAATATTTGTCATCACATGTGACATAAGCATAGTATAACCAAATAGAATAGTATAAATATTTTTGATATGGGGCATTACTTTGTGCGACTGTATACCGAGCGAGCAATAAAAAACAGGAGGATCGAAGATAGCCACAGACTTTTGAAGATTGTCTTTGAAAAAATACGTTTTTTCGTTTTGACAAAAAATACTAACTGATAACGTTGATTTTTTTGTAAATATGGCGCTAGAATTTTCGTGGTGCGAAGCAGAGGCGAGATAGTAATTTCTCGTTTTATATTATTTAACGAGTCAATAAACTTGTCTATTAAATGAAATGTGAGACACCTGGGTACTTGATCTTAAAGGTCGTTGTACACTCAGTTCCACTTTTCACTGAACAGTATGATAAATGATTATAAACAATAAAAAAATCTTTCCAGTATATAAATAATATTTCAATTTAAAATTTTCATAACAACATAGTTTATTTTGGACTTATTAGACTTTGAAATTTTTAGGGAGACAGAAGACCTGTAATTATCAAATTACTGTCATTTTGTTAAATTAAAATTTAGTGAAAAATACTACCTTAGTACTGTTTAGGTGTCATGCTCAAGGTTTTTTCCTAAATTTACGTTACGTTGGCAGTACAAAATTACAGGTAAAAGAAAAAAGGATTTAATTTCAATAACAGTTTAATTATGTGCGGCAAGGACTAGGTGAGGCGCCAAGGTATATCTTCGGGTGTATCTGTGGTTTTATTTCAGTGAAAAATACTGAAGGGATAGTAACCTTTACTTGGCTTTTTTATATTGGATTATACAAGTGCTTGTTATATTTTCAGACTAAAAAATATCAAATTTTAAGATAATACTTTTTCAGTATTAGACACTAATGAAATCAGGAAATGTGTAAACATTAGCTGAACGAATTTTATAGATTTTTTTCTATTTTTATGAATAATTCGTTTTCATTACGGTATTTCTGTAACACAGTTGTTGTACTTTTTAAGGCGCTGGTTTAGTTTCTATAATGGAATAAATATGTCAGTGTTAATCAAGTATTTAGATGGACGTTGTACACAAGGTCTTCCATCTCAATTGCCTAAACAAAGAGATTACCTCAAAATTTTTACTACTCGTACGTGGCATAATGTATACAACATGGAATTTTTAAACAAGTTTAAGAATTTTTGATATACAATAATCCTTTTTTATATTTTTACTTTTTGTGTTGCAACAAAATTATAATGGAACTATTTTGAAGAGTGTCTAATTTCACGATTTCCTGAAGTTGTGATCTGTTGTATCCTGTCTGATGGAGAGCAAATAAACTGACCTGTTGAACCGACCACACTGAAATTTGTCTATTTTATTCCTCCTTTTAAAACAAAGCTTACCTTTGTTCTTATGTGAACTGAACATCGTTGGACAACACAAAAAAAAAAGATTATTCAAGTCATGCTTCTACCTACATGTACGATGTGCTGTCGGTCGATATAAATTTTGCAAGTCAAATTATTCTGTTGAAAAGTTCGAATGTAAAGCATAATGTAGTATAGTAGTCCACATCGTACTCCGTTTATATGGCACTGCAATAACAATTACCGCAAGCAGTTGGTCTGTTGATGGTTTATGACCGCTGGCACGGACCCATTGTGAAGGGATTTAACTCCTACACAATAGGCTACAGTCGTAAAAACGGAGTACGACTTGAATAAGAATAGTACACAAGCGATAATTGAAAAAATATTAAATAAAATTCAGAAGTAGGTTGGTCTTACTTAAAACACCAAAGTCGTCTTCAATTCCAGTGAAACCGAAGGTGATATCATCAAATTTATGACATACCTATATACTGTATCTTTATTGTGAATTCTTCATTGTATGATTCAGTTTGTGAAAGCTGTGTCGAAATTAAAAAACGACCAACAACGCATTTTTTGCAGAAATACGTCTGGCAAATACACCAAGATTATTATCAGGATGATAAAATACTAAAAAATATTATTTATTCCCTGCGGGAAATTGACGAAGTCGTCTTCAAATTAAATTAAACATAAAATTAACAATCAAATTTTACAGTTTGCCCAACCAAATGCATAATGAGCTCTTTGAAGCTTTGATAAAGCACATCCATCACGTTTAGAAAGTGTACATCTTAATTTATATTATAAATCTCTGTTAAAGAAATATACCCAAAGTTACAACAATTTAATAACATCACCTCAAAATTTTGCTTGGTAAATATTATTTAAATTTTATAAAATAACATACTCCTGTACTTGTGGTTTATGAATTCGCCTTGGACATCCATATTGTCGCACAAAACTAAATCATTTTTAGATTTATTTGATTGTACTTTCGGTAGCAGGGAATATCTCTCTAAAACATTAGATCAATGGTGTAAACATGAAGTAAACAAATCATTTTATTATTATTATTATTATTATTATTGAACAAGTGGTCAACAGGTCAAAACCCACTTACAGACCAACAGTACAATAAGAATCAGCGATCCGCAGCTGAAAATCACTACGTCTCCAATTTGGAGACGGCATGATCCTTATCGAATAAAATAAGGTAAAAAAAGATGTAGATTTAACAAAATGGACAAGTTTGGGAATAATCAAATTCTTTAACAGCACGTAAAGGGGTGGAGAAAAGGTCAATTTTATTGTGAATACAATTACCAATACGACACATTGTAAGCAATGGAGAAAATTTGGCAACATCTGTCCTTGAAGCCGTTAAGTGAAATATTGCAGGGTGACGAGATATTATACTCCTAGGGCCCACATTAAAATGTAGTTGCTCTAAAATTAGGGAGCAATCAATGCAATTGTGTAAAAGTTTAAATAGAAAGACAGCATAGAATTTTTTACAAGTGTCCATAAAACTAGAAATATTGAAACGGTTCAAAAGACTAGACTGTGAAAAACCAATAGGGGGATAAACACCATCCTTGCGATAAGTCAGATATTTCAGAAATTTCCTTATAATACCTTCGAGTTGAGCTCCATGGATATTGTAGTGGGGACACCAAATTATGCATGCATAATATAACTTGCTTTCAAGAAGGGCATTATAAATCCGAATAATTGTATTACAATCCTTAAAATCTCTAGAATTTCTAATAATAAAGCCTAAAGTTTTAGTGCAATCAGTAACCACTTTACGTATATGGTCAACAAATGAGAGCTTGCAATCAAACACAACTCCAAGATCTGTAACCGTCTGGGGTCTTGCTAATACGACCGCATTGAGTTTGTAATCAAAACTGATCATTTCTCGTTTCAAGCCAAATGACATGACAAAACATTTGTTTTTATTTAATAAAAGTCTGTTTACAGAAGACCATATTAAAATCTTGTTTAAATTTTGCTGTAACACAATGCAGTCTTTAGTTGTACTGATTCTACTATATATTTTGATGTCATCTGCATAAAGAGCGTATTCAATATCCAATTCATCAGTTATGTCATTAATGAAGAGTAAAAAAAGAAGGGGGCCCAGGACAGAACCTTGGGGTACTCCCGATGAAACATTAATATAACGAGAGTTATACCCAAAACAATGAACATACTGTTGCCTGTTACACAGGTATGACATGAAGAAACGAATGAGCTGGGGGCCAAATCCTAAAACGTCCAATTTATGAAACAAAATACCATGATCAAGTCTATCGAATGCCTTTGAGAAATCAAGGTATATTACATCCGTCTGCAACCCACTATCAATAGCGTTCGAAATAAACTGTGTAGTGCAGAAAAGGTTAGTAACTGTAGAGCGTCCATGCATGAAACCATGTTGGCGCTCAGAAATAACAGCCGCTACTTGCGAATAAAGCTGTTTGAAAATTATGGCTTCAAAAATTTTAGCAAAATTATTGATGATGGATATAGGACGATAATTTTCAATAGCATTTCTACTTTTGCTTTTGTAAACAGGGATCACTTTGGACAGTTTCCAGCAGTCTGGAAACGTACCCGCTCTAATGCAGAAATTGAAAAGAAATGTAAGTGGTTTCACAAAAACCTGAGCACAGTCTTTGACGATGACCGCTGGTATCTTATCAGGACCCTGAACATAGT